GGATGGATGGATGGACAGATGGATGGACGGATGGACAGATGGATGGACAGATAGATGATGGATGGATTATGATATTAGATGGATGGATGGATGATATTGGACAGACGTCACAGGTTGGGTCCAATTTAGTAAGATGTAAAGTAGAAAGCTCCCTCCAGAGTAAATGAAGTTTTATTATATTTTATATATTAAATTAAATAAACAATAATTAATAATCATGAACATGTTTTCCGGTTGTCTACGTCACAGGCGTTGGACTCTCAGGCCTCAATAGAAAAACGGCTGATTTTCAGGACACAAAAAGACCATAACTTTCTTAATATTTAACATATTTTAATGACATTTGTATTACTGTCCTTTTCTTTACCAGCTCTAGCAATTAAAATTAAACAGAATTTGAATAATTTGATATTTTTCGTCACAAACCTACATTAGCTCTATATAAAACATGGCTACCTTTTTCGCGGGCTTCTCGATGACGATCTTCTTCGAGGCTTTTCCGATGTTTGTGACTTTCACCGCTCTCCGGTAAACTTGGCCCACTTCCACATCTTTAAACTCTAAAACCGGAGGGTCCACCCGAACCCAACGTTCAGCCATCACCTAGTTTGACGTTTCTAATGCACCTAGAATCGGTAAAAACGTCAAAAATGTACTTTTTTGTTGTCAAAACCGTGTCGGTATTAAATGTTTTAACTGCTCGCTTCGTTGGTCGGTTGCCTAGCGACCGCTCAGGTGGCTAAATCCAGGGAGCGCTTGATTTATAGCCTTGGACAGCCCGGGAACACCGCGCCGTTTCATCTGAGAAGGGGTGATACCTACTTGTTTCATCTTTTCAAAGACGCCACTAAGGAGGGGCCGTGAGGGGGCAATGACCCACCAAGCTCCACCATCAGTTTTTTGAGCCCAAAGTTTTTGCTTATTGTGCATTTTTTATTTCCCTTAGCTATTTATTATTAGTAGGACCTCATACAAATAAAAACATTTCCTTAGAGCAATTGCATTATAAATTTAAAAATAAAGCAGTCCCATAAAATATAGACAAATAGTCTAAAACCTCAAAATTAGGAGCCACAGTTTTAGATTTTATGCATATTGTTTTATAAATATAAATTTAAGAGGCAAGTCGGGTAGTTTTCTGAAACTAATATGACTTGAATTAAAGAAATAGTTTGAAATAATATTATAGTAAAATGTACAGTTCGTGATTGTGCCTATTTTTTCTTTGCTTAATTCCCAGTTTGGGCCATTTAAAATATGTTGGGAAAAGTACACAGCAACAAGCAAATGTAAATGTTTTTAAAATAATCAGAAGTGGTGGCTTTACACTTGAGAAAACTAGTCAATCCTTTGGCCTATATACTTCTTAAAAGATTTACAACTAAATTTTAGATGAAAACACTAAAGACAATTTATGGTAAACTAGACTGTTCTGGAACTACAAATGTTATTCGTTCTACTCACTAAATATCACTTATCAATAATATTACCTGTAAATTAACTAACTGGGTTACATCAATAGGTAACTCTCATAACAGCACATTAGAGTTCCTGAAATTATTTTATAGCTTTTTGGTTTGGTGCCACCCTAGGATTTTCGGTGGCCCCCACATGGCCACCCCTTTAGAAATTTTCTGGAAGTGCCACTGCAAACTGTTTTTTGGGTTATTCAAGTCAAATTTCACGGTAACATTTATAAAATAATTTACAGCGATTATCACAAAATATAGACAACGTACAAATTTTTCTACTTGTCTCTGTCCTAATGTAACAAAGTCATACCGTATTTTCCGGTGTATAAATAACTTCACTGAGAAATCTATGCAAAAAAAAAACATGACTTAGACGCCAGAAAATACGGTTATTCAAGCGTATCCTAACTCAGTTAATTTGTTAAATTAAAACTAAAATCTAAGAACTGTACAAAAAACTAAACGTTTCCAAAAAATTATGGATGTTTGGCATGCTACATAAAGTTAAAAAAAAAAAAGTTTAATATACGGATTGTATTTATTTTACAATATGGCTGTTTTTACATTATATAACAAAAATGAAATTTAGAAAACGTTTCAAAGAAAAAACAACAAAGATGCATCAGTTTTATGATATTATGAATCGGCCCCATTGCTTTCCCAAATCTCGTCGTCATACAAGTTAGAAGCGTGTGCGACGGTCGGATCATGACTGTGGTCAGCGTGTTGGATGGAACCAGCTCCGGTCCCATCGACAGTCACAGCAGATCGGAAAGAATCACCGGACGGGTCTGAGCACATATTGTCCCTCTGACAACCGGCATCCTGGCTGACGTCAGCGTTCCCCGTTCCTTCGACTTGCAGGTTTTCAGCCTCTGGCACAGCTGGGTGTCCCTCCCCACCGACAGGAGAAGACAGACGGCTGTCTTTCTTTGGTTTGTCTTCAGTCCCGAGGGCTGGTGTCTCCATCCCCTGCAGGTGCCGAGGTTTCTTCTCCAGGCCAAAGAAGTTGCTGCGGACAACGAAGCGTACACACTGCAGGAGGACATTCCTTTCATGGCGGATGTCGGGCGCCAATAACTAAAGAGGGGGAAAAAGAAAAACGTAAAGGTGTTTCAAGAATAATTTAGAAAGAAACATTTTTATAGTTGGGCCTGTCGCGATAAACAATAAATCAATTAATCGCATGATAAATGAAAACTTAACGACCTCGTTTTCATTTATCGGCTTTATTCGTGTCTCTCTCTTTCTACTGAAGACGCTGGATGATAAAAGGCTCAACTCCGGTGCTCTTCACTGACCCCTCCCTTTCGCTTTAAAATCCATTTTAACAATCCAAAATCGCGTTTTTGGATCGTTAAAAGCAGCTAAGCTGAGAAGCTAACGGGCCAACCTTAGGGAAAAAAAACCTCGGTCTTGTCCAAGCTCCAAAATTCACGGTGCCTTTGTGTAAAAAGTTCTTTTTCTCTGGAAAAAGAAGCTGAGAACTTGTTTACTGATTTTTTTAGTAAAAGCTTTGTGTGAAAAACGCTATGCTAAAGAGCTCAAACCACCGAGCATCCGCCATGTCACCATGTCACCCCATGTCACGTCAAGGGCCCTCCCTCCCATTTTCTTAAAGAGACATGCTGCTCAACTATACATCCTTTGGTTCAAACTGTCTTATACTGCCATCAGGTGGTCAAAAAAGGTACTACACCAAACAAATCAAAATTTCTTCTAAAATTTGACAATTAATTATTGTTAAAATTCAAATGATATTATCGTTTATCGCAATAATTTCTGAGGCAATTAATCGCCCAGCAAAATTTGTTATCGTGACTGGTCTAGGTCAGACCGTACAATGCTCAAAGACATTACAGACAGAAACCACAAGAGGTCCATCTCAGACTCTACAGGCCTCAGTGAGAAGGTTAAAGTTCCAGACCAGCTTCATCGTGTCCTGATACATAAATATTAGGGTTGGGCATCGAGTCTCGAGAATCGAGTGGAACTGGGACCAACGTTCCGGTTCTCCCAGAATCGCTCAAATTTTTTATTTTCAATTCCTACTTTCAATGCCTAGTCTGCCGACCGGAAGAAGAAGTCGCCCGCCGAAAAAAGTTAATAAAAAGTAAGAAGTTCATAGAATTAAAATTCAAATAGAAGTTCAAATGATTTCATCCAGAGAGAACTCTGGCTAGCTGGCTCATTTATACCATGAAAACTTCCTTTTTAACCTTCCTTTAAAAAGAATCAGAATCGTAACGATGAATCAGAATCGGAACCGGAATCGTTCAAATTCAAACGATGTCCAACCCTAATAAATATGTACCGATACTTTTTTCCCCAATACGAATTTGCATTCTGTGTAACCTCAGAAGTATTTTTACCATTTCTAGTAAAGTACGGCGACGTGGCTGCGGCGTATCTTGGTGTCTTCTTCCCCTGCCTCCTCTACCTCCTCGACCCCTGTTCGCTCCTCTGTTATTGAACATGTTAGGACCAGAGCAAGGGTGGGGACCTTTGTCCACTTTGGTGGAGGTTTCCACATCTCTAGAAGGTTCGCCGGTCCCTGACGTTGGTTGGACTCTGTTCAGGATGGTCTTGTTTTCTTGAACCAGCTCTTCGGCTCTCAGAATGGGAGCAGCTAAAACACAAAGACATGTTGAGAATATGGAAAGACATCAGTGCAGATCATGTACAACTAAAACTCAACTAGTCTTGCAAATTTAAGGGGGCAACACTCAAGTGTCCAATATTAAAGCAGTACATCATTAGATACAATACCATTATGATTAAACTTGAGTATAACCTGATTTGTCAAGAAAACAGATCTGATTCATCAAGTCCTGAACTCCTTTAAACCTCTGAGGTTCTGCTGTGGTATTTGGCCATTGGTAGCAGATTATATAAGCCCTGAAGGTTGAAATGCGGGGCCTCTTGAACAAGACTTGTTGGTCCAACACACCTCAGAGATGCTCAGTTGGAGGTTGAATTATCAGGTCAAATTAATCCACCCTTGTTCTTTTAGTTTGCATTTAGCAGAGCTAAACCCGGCTTTTACTCTGTTGATGCATGTCAACAGGTTCTGTTGTCCTGTGGTGTGAACTGCTTGGTCACGATGACCATCCAGTGTTTCCTCCAGATCAGCTCCCCTGACAGGGTGCTCGTTGTATTTATTTATTTTTGACGGGGGGGACAGAGTCACGTCTGTGTTGCCCGCCTACTAGCTTAGTGCTACTTTGCTGCCAGTGGTTGTCCACAGCGTGAGGGCGAGGGGGGGGTCACGTCTGTGTTTAGCACTACGTTGCTACCTGTAATTATCGACGGCGGATGGGTAGGGGGGTATGTAGCGGACTGGTAAATCAATAGCATTTTTGTTAGCGTATTTGTATTGCGCCCTGCGCTACATTCGTCCAGGAGAGGGAGGGTAGCAGGGCACCCCGCTTGTATAATGATAGGGGAAACACTGTACAAGCAGGGCGCCATGTTCCTGAACTAAACCCAACACCCCCACCCCCGTAGACAACTGCCGACACTGACAAAGGCTAAGCTAGTGGCACGCAATACAGACGCGCTAGCTAAAAAGCTAGGTAGCGCGCTGCTTCCCTCAAGCTGAGCAGTCTCCAAATGCTCCGCCCCCCCACCCCCAAAAAATGTCAGTACAAGCAGCGCACAACAGACGTGTGTCTCTCCCAACAAAAATCACAGAGGAGATGAGTGTCCTGCCAAGGTGAGTAATGTAGGGGAAACTCCGCCATCGTTACATTTGGAGGAAAAAAGGGAGGCGCTTGTAAACTTGAGAACACCATCACAAACCCCAATCATAGGAAACCCATAGGAAATTTCCCATAGGAAATTTGTGGGCAGAGCTGAAAAGGTGGCCTACAAACCTGACGCAGTTCCACCAGTTCTGTCAAGAGCATCGGGAACAAATTCTAGCCAACTACTGTGAGAAGGTATAGGAAAATAAAACAGTTGACCCAGGTCTTATCATTTAAAAACTAAGACAACGGATATAAACATGAGTTTGATGAACGTGATACCAAGTTGGGAAACATCTGAGACTCTTACAGTTAGCCTTAAAGGGTTCTTACAAACATGCCAACATATTTTATTGTGCAACATGTGGTAGGGTGACCCACTCACCCTCCGGTTCCTCATCACTTTCGCTCATGGAGCCGTAGTTAGCCAGCAGGGAGCCAAGAGCTGAGCTCATCTGTTTAGGGACGACAACGAATCCCCCGGTTTTAGAGTCCGGAGAGGGGTCCTCTTTGTCTGAATCTAGGAGCACATTGGAATTAAGTTGCAGTGCAAGTTTTTCATTTTTATTCTAAAACTCAGCCTTCAAAGTAACAGAAACTTGACTTTTGTCTCCCATGTCAGGAGGAATACCTTCGCCGTGGTCACCGCTGGCCAGAACACCCAGTGGATCCTCTCTTCTGGAGGGACAACTGACCAGTTTGGGTGTCACTGTGGCGCTGCGGTCAGCCGAGTTGTGTCCTTGAGGGTGTCGCCCTCTGAACCCACTGTTACCCCGCCCACGACCTCGACCTCGGCCCCTCATTCGCCTGGTGATAAAAACATTCTCGTGTTAAAACATCCCACGAGCGTTTGTCGGGTTTGATCAAGTTCTGAAAGCTCCTGATCAGGTAAACAGAGTGGAGCAAGTAAAGACAGCAGCAGAGTGAGGAAATGTGGTCAATTTGTACTCCAGTAGTCTAAGCCTATGGCAGCATAACTAAAGGCTAGTTCAGGAAACCCAAGTCAACCCTAACTATAGGATTTATCAAAAAGGAAAGTCTTAAAACTGGACAATGTGTCAGCCTCACGGACAGAAACTGGAAGTTGGTTCCACAAGAGAGGAGCCTGAGAACTGAAAGCTCTGCCTCCCATTCTGCTTTTGGAAACTGTAGGAGCCACAAGTAAACCAACAGTCTGAGAGTGAAGTGCTCTGCTAGGAATATATGGAATAAGATCTGTAATGGAGCTAAGTTGTTGAGGGCTTTGTATGTTAGAAGTAGGGCTCTTGCAATAAGCAATAAATCAATTAATCGCATGATAAATAAAAATTATCAACCTCATTTTCATTTATCGGCTTTATCATTTCCTTGTGTCTCTCTTTCAACTGAAGACAACGGATGACAAAAAGCTCAACTCCGATGTTCTTCACTCACCCATCCCTTTCTCTTTTCACTTTAAAATCCGTTTTAACCATTCAAAATCACGTTTTTGGATAGTTAAAAGCAGCTAAGCTATAAGCTAAGCTAACAGGCCTACCTCGAGAAAAAAAACTCCGTCTTGTCGAAGCTCAAAATTCATTGTTGAAACCGTGCCTTCATGTAAAAAGTTGTTTTTCTCTGCAAAAAGAAGATGAGTACTTGTTTACTGATTATTGTGAAAAATGCTAAGCTAAAGAGCTCAAACCGCACTGAGCGTCCGCCATTTTGAGAACCGAAGAGAGACAGCCCATGTCACGTCAAGGGGCCTCCCTCCCATTTTTCTTAAAGAGACACGCTGCTCGCTCTCTCACTATCCATCCTTAAGTTCAGTTTTATACTGCCATCTGGTGGTCGAAAAAAGGTACTACATGCAAAACAAAGTAACAAGCATTTCTTCTTAAATTTGTCAATAATTACAAATTATAGTCAAATCTCAAACAATATTATCGTTTATCGCAATAATTTCTGCAACGATAAATCGCCAAGCAAAATTTATCGTGACATGCCTAGTTAGAAGTAATCAAAAGTGGATCAAATTTTACCCGAACTGAGCCGTTTCCAGAACACCACCCGTCTGCTCCCGAACCTCCGTCACTTTCTTCTTCCTCTCGATGTTGTGAAGAGTCGGATAGTTTCTGAAAACACAAATTAGGCCACAGTTGAGAAATAGCTGTGAATTAGACACAAACAAGTCTGCCCGCTTGTGTTAGTCTTCTGATCTTCACCAGGCTCTAAAATTATTTAAATTCAACAGACTATATAAAAATTAAAAAAAAAAAGTCTACTGTGTCGTTATTTATTCAACAAAGTTAAAGCCAAAATCAGATAAATTCGTTATTTTTATAGAACTTTGTGTCTCACATGGTTGTGGAGGAAGTTTGACCCACTCCTCTTTCCAGCATCGCTTCACTTTATTGAGGTTTTCAAACATGACTTTCTGCTCGACTCTCAAATTCCTGTCACATTTCCATCAAGTTGCAGTCTGGACTTTGAGCGGACCATGACAACGCCTTGATCCGTTTCTTTTTGAGCCATTCTGTTGTAGATTAGCTGCTGTGTTTGGGCTCATTGTTCCGTCTCAGTTTGGCCCAAGGCTCAGCTGTCAGACGGCCTCACGTTTGACTCTACAAGAGTTCACGATCCACTCAAACCATCAGCCCTCCACTGCCGTGCTTGACACTCTGTATGAAGTGAATATGGTCCTCACCAAACACGGCACTATGCATTATGGGTAAGCGTTAGCGCTCAGAATCGTTACACACGTCACGATTCAGATTCAGAGCACTACGAGACAATTACAAAACCAATATCAGCGAATTCTGATTGTTTATGAAACAACTATAAAAATACTGATTTATACATTTTCATGCACAACAAGTGCACAATAACAGCTCACAAAGTCCAGTAACTGCAGGCTAACAATTAGCATAGATGCTAAGTTCACAGTGAAGAGGCCACAGAAAAGCTATTAGCAGGTGGGAGGGAGGAACAGGAAAAAAAGACGTGAAATTATCAAAAAAAGAAGCAGAATACACAAATTTGGAAAAAGACAATACAGGTGCTGGTCAGAAAATTAGAATATCATGAAAAAGTTGATTTATTTCAGTAATTCCACTCAAAAAGTGAAACTTGTATATTATATTCATTCATTACACACAGACTGATATATTTCAAATGTTTATTTATTTTAATGTTGATGATTATAACCGACAACTAATGAAAACCCCAAATTCAGTATCTAATAAAATTATAATATTGTGAAAAGGTTCAGTATTGAAGACGCCTGGTGCCACACTCTAATCAGCTGATTAACTCAAAACACTTGCTAAGGCCTTTAAATGGTCTCAGTCTAGTTCTGTAGCTACACAATCATGGGGAAGACTGCTGACTGGACAGTTGTCCAAAAGACGACCATTGACACCTTGCACAAGGAAGACAAGACACAAAAGGTCATTGCTAAAGAGGCTGGCTGTTCACAGAGCTCTGTGTCCAAACACATTAATAGAGAGGTGAAGGGAAAGAAAAGATGTAGAAAAAAAGTGCACAAGCAATAGGGATAACTGCACCCTGGAAAGGACTGTGATTCACAAAGAGTGGACTTCAGCTGGAGTCAGTGCTTCAAGAACCACCACGCACAGACGTATGCAAGACATGGGTTTCAGCTGCCGCATTCCTTGCGTCAAGCCACTCTTGAACAAGAGACAGCATCAGAAGCGTCTCGCCTGGGACTGCTGCTGAGTGGTTCAAAGTTATGTTCTCTGATGAAAGTAATTTTTGCATTTCCTTTGGAAATCAAGGTCCCAGAGTCTGGAGGAAGAGAGGAGAGGCACAGAATCCATGTTGCTTGAGGTCCAGTGTCAAGTTTCCACAGTCAGTGATGGTTTGGGGTGCCATGTCATCTGCTGGTGTTGGTCCACTGTGTTTTCTGAGGTCCAAGGTCAACACAGCCGTGCACCAGGAAGTCTTAGAAAACTTCATACTTCCTGCTGCTGACCAACTTTGTGGAGATGCAGATTTCATTTTCCAACAGGACTTGGCACCTGAACACAGTGCCAAAGCTACCGGTACCTGGTTTAAGGACCATGGTATCCCTGTTCTTAATTGACAAGCAAACTCGCCTGACCTTAACCCCATAGAAAATCTATGGAGTATTGTGAAGAGGAAGATGTGATACACCAGACCCAACAATTCAGAAGAGCTGAAGACCACTATCAGAGCAACCTGGGCTCTCATAACATCTGAGCAGTGCCACAGACTGATCACTCCATGCCACGCCGCATTAATGCAGTAATCCAGACAAAAGGAGCCCCAACTCTAAGTATTGCGTGCTGTACATGCTCATACTTTTCATGTTCATACTTTCCAACATTTCTAAAAATCCTTTTTTTATTGGTCTTAATATTCTAATTTTCATTAGTTGTCAGTTATAATCATCAACAGTAAAATAAATAAACATTTGAAATATATCAGTCTGTGTGTAATGAATGAATATAATATACAAGTTTCACTTTTTGGATGGAATTACTGAAATAAATCAACTTTTTCATGATATTCTAATTTTCTGACCAGCACCTGCATGATATACGTCAGTGGCAGCGCAGAAGAACAAATCTGCCCGACATTTGAATCAGTTCAGAATTTTTCACGCCCACGCATAATAATAATAATAATAATAAAAAAAGAAAAGATTTTACCTCCCACCTTGTAAAGACATTACTTTTATATTATCCTGATATGCTAAAACCTCAAGAACTGAACAAGCACAGACTTTCTTTCCCCCATGACTGTACTTCTCAGGATCAAGCACAAGTCGCCACAGCTCTCACACGTGTTAGGAAAAATGGAACAACTAACTTGCGCCTCTCCTCTCTCCATTTCGCGATCTCATCCGGTGTGTCCAGCTTGATTCTTTTAGCTCCCGGTGCGTGACTCTACAATTAGAATGTTACGCTCGTATTAGAAACAGGAAGTCACAACGAGTTGAACATACACGATGAGTTGTACTTACATTTTTCCAGTGTATGGCTACCAGTTTTTCATGGGCCATGAAGTTACAATCAGGTACAGAACACTGAGAATGACATTTGATTTTTTTTTAAAAAGTTTATAATAATCTAATGAAACACCGTGAAATGACTCCAAACCAACAGAATCCATACCGTGACGTGTTGGGACACGTGTTCGTCGTACTTCTGCTGGTTTTTGAAGCCACGGTCGCACGTGTCGCAGTAATGAGAATACTCCGGTTCCTTCTTATTCCTCTGCTGCGGGTCAAGTTAGGGTTTACGACGAGAACCAGTAAAATGTATTTTTAAAAAAAGTTGGACCACTCACCTTTTTCCCATGTTGATAGGGAGGTCTGTAGTTCTGTCTTCCACCTGGATGTCCACCTTGGTACCATTCGTGCCCAAAGTTTGGAGCTAAACACAAAAACATGAAGAATAATGTTCTTATACTCATTAAATAAGAACTAGAGAAATTGCATTTCCTACGAAAATCCAGTGTGAATTCTTATTCCTGAAGAACTTGCTGAAAGAAAGCTGAAAATAGCTTAAACAAATTGCTGAAAAGTAGCTGAAATGAACCTAAGTTAGCAGAAGAAAGCAGAATGAACACCTATTGGCTGAATTGGGTTTAAATAAGCAGAAATGAGCACAAAAATAAGAAAATTAGCTAAAAAAAAAAAAAAAGCTGAAACGGCAGAAAGAAGCTTAAACTACCTGAAAGAACTGGAATGAGCTAAAATTAGCACAAAACAGCTAAGAAGTAGCTGAAATAGCAGAAAAAGCTATAACTTGCTGAAAAGAGCATAGGCTTAAATTAGCAGAAATAAGTTAATTAGGCTGAAAGTGGCAAAAATCACCACGTAAAACTTGAATTTATCTGAAAACAGATTAAATTAGCTAAAAAAAAATGCCAATAAAAAGTAGCTGAAAACGTAAAAGAGGCTTAAATTAGCAGAAGAGAGCGGAAAGAACGTGCTTACTGGAAGAATCAGAAATGAGCATAAAAATGGGGAAATTAACCCAAAAAAAAGCTGAATCAGCAAAAAGAAAAAAAAACAGCTGAAAAGTAGTTTAAAAAAAGCTTAAATTACCTGTTGGAAGTGGAAAGAGTACATTTTTGCTGAATTAGGCAAAAAAAAAATGTTGAAATGAGTGCAAAAAATGTGGAATTAGCTGAAAAACTAAAATTAACATAAAAACAGCTAAATAGTAGCTGAAATAATAGAAAACGCTGAAACCTGCTGGAATAAGCTGAAAGGAGCATGACGAGCTGAAATTAGCAGAAAGAAGTTAGATGAAGCACAAAAATGTTGTAATAAGCAGAAACAATCTGAAAAGAGCAACAACAACAAAAAACAGCTGAAAAAAGTTTAAATTTGCACAGGGAAGCTGAACAAAACGTGAAAGGAGCAGTAAAAGGTTGTAACAGATCTAAGAAAAATGAGCTCAGTTCATTTTCTATGAAGGAAAAATGGCAGAAACGGCTAAATATTTCAAAAAGCTAAAGTTGCACCAAGTCATAGTTCACACCATTAGCTGTAGAATACATTAAATCCTTAGTTTGTACAAGTGTCGTTAATGCGTCCAGCTGTGGGTTTACTCACAGTAAGTCCGTGTCTGTCCCGGGGGGAAGCTGTGACCCGCCTCACCGCTCCTCCAGCCGGGCTCCGGGGGCGTCTCTCCCCAGCTCCACATGCCCGGGTGGAAGCTGCTGGCGTGCGGCTGCTGCTGCTGCGGGGGCCGCTGGATGGAGCTCGGAGGGGGACTGCTGAAGTCCGGCGCGGGGTAACGTTCCGGGACATTCATCGCCGCTGCGTCCCTGAACGCTTACGATTAACAATTTTAAAAATCAATTTACGTCAAAATCAAACTCTCGTCCACATGTTTCTCTCACGCGCGCATGTTTTGCTAAGGTTCACAAACTTGTCGTCATTTCCGTTACAACCGGAAGATTAAACGATGCGTTCACTGCACCTCGGAAATTAAATGTCTTCGTTTCTGAAATCAACTTCTGCAGCTTCAACTAAAACATATTGACACAGTTGTAAAATCTTTGACAGCCACGAGTTTTAGCTATTTCACTTTAATTCAGCCATAAATGTCACAAATTAAAGTTGTTGTTTAATTAAATGGAAATGTTTCGGTTTCTGTTACACAAGAGTCACGACTCTCCTCAAGATCATACACTGAACGAACAATAACAGTGTAAGAGAGAAAAATCAAAATATTTTTGTTTGTATTTCACTATAAAGTTTTAACGTTAAACAGCATTAATATGCAGATTTTATTCCCTCTGGTTTATGCTTTGGGATTATACAGTACAAATATATAGAGTACAGTAATATCATACAGTTAGGGGCCAAGATGGTGCAGAGGCAGAGCAGCCAACCCGGGACCTGAAAGTCCCAGGTTTGATCCCCAGTCATTGTACCAACCACCACCCGGGCGCCGCCAACAGCCACCCACCGCCCCACCCGAGCACACCCCAGGAGTGATGGGCCAATTTCACCATTATATGGGAACATACAATGATGACAACACATAAACATAAAAGATTTTGTGTAATTTTAATTGGCGTAAGAAGGAAATCTAAACAAAACTTACAAAAAAATATTGTTGATGATTAATGTACTTGCTTATGAAGCACCAGGTTTAGAAAATGACATTTCCTGAAATAGATTTCAACTTTTGTTTGTTGTTGATGGATGATAGACGTAACAACTGTCCAGAAGCCAAAGCAAGAAAAATCTGTCCAGATGACCAGACTTAACTGTTTTTTTATTTATTTCCCTGGATGATTGAGCAGGCATCAGGACATACAGTACAGAAGCCAAAGCACATATGAGGAATAAGCAAGTTGACCCAGTCACATCTGGTGAAAGAGAGACGCTTGTAAAGTTAGTGTGTGCTGTCAATCACAGAAATATGAACATGTGGGATTGTGTTCCCTGCACTGACAGCACACACTACCTTTAAAAGTGTCTCTCTTTCACCAGATGTGACTGGGCCAACTTGCTTATTCCTCATCTGTGTACCCCATATTTAATTTGTTTTGACGACAAGTGACACGAAGAAGAAATATTCTAATGTCTATTTTGCTTTTGTGTTTACAGGACTCATGCTCAGAAAAATGTTCATTTTTTTAAATATTATTATAAATAGATTTACTACCACTTTTTTGATAAAATGTACAAGGTCTTAGAAAAGTTAACAAACTTTACATGATGTATTTAAAAGCCTCACGACTTCTCGCGAGCTTTAGCCCAGGTATCTCGGTATCTCTGCATCTATGCTGCAGACAAACCCGAAAGGCGTATCTAGAGGACCTCATCTGATTGGACAATAAAATAATGAGCGCATCTATAGGATCACATTTGATTGGATGATAGAAAAATGGGCGTACCCTGAGCTCCGGGGCTTAGTATTAAAGCTCTCATGTTGCCATGTTGTGCGATATACGTGTAACTTTTACGGTCCGTTTTTATACTGTCTTGCGTCTTTACTACCTAAAACCTTTTAATCCAAAAAGTCACGAATAAATAGTTTACAAAGTTTTTTATTTATAAATACGAGCACACGGTTAAAATCCCACACAATCGTAAACCAAAAGTCGAATTCTAGGGATTTCATCAACAAACCTGGCAACCCGGAAGTTTCCTGCTCTACCCATTGCCTCGTGCAGTTCTGGCAGCGACGCGCGGGGAGCTGAAGTGGAAATCTTGAGCTCTCTTACGAGGGAGCGTTCAAACGGATACACAGAGCCGTTTCCAAAATGCTCGTTTTATTCGAAACCGCCGCTGGATTCGCGATATTTAAAGTAAGCATTGCTGTGCTGCTTCCTGTCACCTAGCTGGAAATAAAGTTTATTTTCATGCGGTTGCTGCTTGAGTTAGCTTAGCTTTCCCTCCCGTGTTTGACTTGTAGTCCATTTTAAGTCAGTTCTTTGCTATTGAGGGACCAGTAAATACAAGTATTACAAGTATTATTTTTTACATGCACATGGATGTGCTACTTTATCCCTCCTTGTTTACGTTTAGGAGTTCCTCGTTCTCCATGCTGATGCTAACCCGAGTTAGCATCCTGAGCGGCCTGTAACCACGTGTGCACATGGAGGCACATGGATGCTGACTGTAGTTAGCTAACAGAAAAAACGGTTTATTCCTCGGTATTAATTTGAAGCATATATGTTACCTATATGTTATATGTTACGTCGACTACACTGGTCAATATGAATCCTTAAATTTTTACTTGTCTTTGTTTTTACTTTGCGGTAATGAGCCTAATTTTGATAATCAAGGATACCCATACAATCAGTTCCTATTTGAAACCGATCAGTGTCTGAATCTGGACAGATTGCATTTTTTTGTTTTCATTAAATTGTTGAAAATGGGTTTGTTAGGGGTGCACCGATTGCAGTTTTCTGGCCGATCACTGATTTCTAAGCCTAACTTGACGATACTAAGGTCACAATGCACCTTCAATTTTCCAATATTATTTTATAGAAAATCATACCTGGAACAATATCCTAGAAACAATACACACTTGTTTTAACTGACCATGAGGTAGTGCTCTGAAATATGAATAAAGTTTAGACAATTGTTAAAACTAACAAAAAAAAAATCGGTTTCTCTTACAAGTATCGGCCGATTTTCCAAAATTAAGGAAGTTGGGGGCGATAAATCGGCCGCCGATTTATCGATGCACCCCTAATTAAAATAGTTAAATAAATCTAAAGGTTATAAAGAAACATGCAAAGTAGATCTTACAACTATAGTCTGACAATGTGGAAATTTCATATCGAATTTTCAAATTTGGAAATTTGTTTTCATCGATACCTGATATTGAGTTTTTTTTTGTGTGAATGCTGTAACGGCTGGATTTTTTTTATTTTATTGTTTTTATTTGCGCTTTGTCCACCCTCAATAATCTTATTAAACAGCAAGTGGAGCGGGGCTTGTTTATTTAGCACAGCTGTTAGCAACCAATGAAGCTAAGCAAATCCGCTACCTACACGCTATGCCTAGTTCCACAGTAGGTTTACAAGTGGTGCACTGGTCATAAAACTAGTCTTCCTAACGTGCAATTTTTTTAAATTTTATCCTAGTCACCATAAAGGTATTGAGTGTTACAAAAATAAAAATTAAACAAAAAAACGGCCTTCCCTTTTCATTGGTTACACAGTCACGTATGGTGAAAGCCTAAATAGTAGTGACCACAGCCGCAGGTTGTTTTTTTTTTTTTTTTGCGAAGAATGAAACAAACCACGTATTTCATTGAGGACGGCAAAGATAACTATTAACACTGGTTGTCCTCACAAACTGGAAGCTCAATCCGACACGACTGTTACTATAACTGACAACAGGGCTAATGTTGCGAAGGCGGTGCAACATAATACTAACATTAGCTTGCTATCAAGGCACGTAGCTAATGACAAACGGGTTGGAGGATTGAAGACAATTTATTATTGTTCATTTGTTTTACAAATCAGTTAAAATCAACAAAATACCTGCACAGTATTGCTCCCTGCTTAGTCTGTGCTGAATGTGAAAGTGAAACTTAAGGCTGTGACTTGAAAGCAGTCTTCATGCTCCCTCTGCTGGATACATTGTACAGTTCTAGCTGGTTCCCAGAATTTAAAGAGTTAAATATAGATGTGTTTATATTGACGCGTAATGGGACAATAATTACAACATCTGTCAGAAGCAGTCGCCGTCCCTTTGTGATAAATTTAGCACATCTCGGTTAACAGAAATACCAGATCTTCCTCCTCCGTCAACGGAAAGTAAACATAAACTCAGACAAATGTGCTGGAAGGAAGGTTATGAGGTTTTCTCCCCCGCAATTGTTATTTTAGTATAAAATGTCAATAGCGTCAGATATCGGATGTCTTGCACCTTGTGAAGTTTATACCAGTTTTAAATTCTCCAAAAGCTACGCAAGAACCTGAGTCAGGTGTTTGACCTACATAAGGCTGGCTGTAGTCGTTCTAACAAACGTAGCAAAATCTGACGTAGACTCTCAGAAGATGTTGAGGGATTTGTTCTCATTGTTGTAATTATATGACAAAAATTAATTGCCAGTATTTGTTTTTGCGCTGCCTCAGAACCTTTTCTGTGCACAAACTTCTGGCAGAGCTTTTTTCTCGCTCAGTTTTCTGCCAGGTATCGTGAGATTGGTCAGGACTTTGAGTGCATTAATACAAAAACGCGACTGAAGTGCGCTCTTCCTTGGCTCCAACTGCTCTGCTGTGGAGCATCTGGCCGAGGCTGTTGGAAAACAGAGAACTCTTTACAACTGTCTTCGTGTCTGATTACTGAGTTTGATGTGTTGTCCAGGTCCTTGATGAATCAAAGCTGCAGCAGGTGGACAGCCTGTATAAGGAGTTTGAAACTCCTGAAAAGGCTCACAAAATGTAAGTTTTAATGACACGTTCAAGCACATTGTGGCGCCTTAAACGCTGCAAACTGGGTTAACGTCGCTGTTCTGCTCTATCAGTGTGAAGCTGAAGCACTTTGAGAAGTTTCAGGATACGACAGAGGCCTTGGCAGGTACTGACGTCCTCCTTCCCACATGCATGTTCACCTGAAGTCTGGTCTATGATGCATTTTAGTGTCTGAATGAAACATGAAGCATTTCAAAGCAATCGTCACTACCACTGAGACCACACTCTTAGCAGCGCAAAAAAGTACCAAATGTTGTGTTTGGTTGATTATTTCTTTGTTTTGACATTGCTTCTTGGCAGATAATCGTGACTACAGACTAAATACTGCCACATTTTTTTGAAAAATGCATTTGTGGTTTGAGCAGCAAAGTTGAGGATGCAGGTTTAGCTCATTTTGCGAATTTGACATTATTTGGTGCTGTGCATTCAATGGGATGATTACAGTTAAAGAAACAAGACACACTGGCAATTTAACTATGTAATCATTTAAGCTATAGGGCATCGGTACCATGTGGAAGAACCATACACAGCCAAAACAGCCATGTGCCTTTCGTTCCACCTCATGTACCACATGTGATGAGAAGTACATAAACCTGACTTGGACTACTCTGCATGCACATCACCAACTTGGTCACACTCTGATCATTTAACCCATAGGGCATCAATACCATGTGGAAGAACCATACACAGCCACAATAGCCATGTGCCTTTCGTTCCACCTCATGTACCACATGTGATGAGAATGACAATAAACCTGAGCTACTCAATATGTTGCTCACCATCTTTGTCACGCTCTGATCATTGAACCTATAGGGCATCGGTACCATGTGGAAGAACCATACACAGCCACAACAGCCTGGCGCCTACTCTATGCTGCTCACCAACTTGGTCACTCTGCATTTTCCTAACAATTGTGTTACAATTTAACAAAAACTAAACCAGCTTTCCGGTGGTTTAAAAGATATATTGCCAAGAAGCTTTTTCTTGCTTTTTCTGCAAAGTTTAAATAAGATGGAACAGAAAATAAGTTTTTATAATATATCTATGATATAGATATATCTGGCCTTGTTTGTGTGCTAATTCTTATTATTTTTCCTTCACCGTGAAGCTGCAACCGCTCTGGTTGAGGGAAAAATCGGCAAGAGTTTAAAAAAGGTTCTGAAGAAAGTCGTCGCCAAGGAAGCGCATGAACAGCTGGCCATCAGCGATGCCAAACTTGGCGGAGTTATTAAAGTAAGTTTCCCACATCATCATCACGATGGTTCTGGAGTCGTCAGGCACCTTTCATGCCAAGTGTTCTAACGGGAGTGGTTTTTAGGACAAACTGGACCTGAGCTGTGTCCACAGCCCTGCGGTGGCCGAGCTGATGAGATGCATCCGGACCCAAATGGAGAATCTGATCTCGGGACTTCCTCCCAGGGAGATGAGCGCCATGTCTCTTGGCTTAGCTCACAGGTGGGTCGCACACAGGAAGAAGCTTTTTGTTGTTGTTGTTTCTTCTGCCTGTGATTACATTTTGCTGTCTGAAATAGCCGTGTTGATTTTCCACAGCATTCGTCACTACCACTGAGGCAGCACTTCCACCACATCCTCGTCTTTTTATATCGGAAAATGTTAGTTTTACTGGTCCGCTAATGGATGTGTTCATCTGTTTCCAGTTTGTCCCGCTACAAGCTCAAGTTCAGTCCTGATAAAGTGGATACCATGATTGTGCAGGCCATTTGTAAGTACTTACTCCTAACCCTGCTGACGTACGAGTGTATGTCAAGATATTTTTATATAGGAAATACCTGAAAAGCTGCACTGCCTAAAATATTTATATTCTATTACCTGTATTACTTCATAATGTTCATAATTCATACTTGGTAATAACAGTCTGGGTCCCAGACAGGACTTCCATTTAGTTCCAAATGGCCACAGAGACTGGTCCTCGTTTAAACCTTGGTGACCTTTCATAAGTCGCTGATGATGCCGGCCATGTCCCGCCAACAGTTGAGCTTTCAGAGTACTGTTAGGGCGTGGAAAACCCCGTCTGCTCTACGTGTTATCTGTGGGACAAACGGCTTTCTCGTGACATTTCTGAAAACATGGCGGACGATAGGCCTGTCACGGTAAATCAATTAATCGCATGATAAGTTAAAGTGATCAACCTCGTTTTCATTTATCGGCTTCATCGTTTCGTCGTGTCTCTCTCTTTCTACTGAAGACACTGGATGACAAAAGGCTCAACTCCGGTGCTCTTCCTTTCTCTTTTCTCTTTAAAATCTGTTTTAACGATCCAAAATCGCGTTTTTGGATCGTTAAAAGCAGCTCTGCTAGGAGCTAAGCTAACAGGCAATAAAGTTCATGCTCAATCATCCAGGTACCAAATCCAATAATTCTCAGTTGGGTCATCTGGACAATTTCCTTTTTATAGAGATGCTTTGCACTCTATCCAGAGGGCTTCTTCAGTCAGAGGAGTTCCAGTAAACTGTTTCCCCACCAAGCAGTAACCACTGAGCATCCGCCATTTTGATAACCGGGGGGGAAAAGGAAAGACAGCCCATGTCACGTCAAGGGGCCTCCCTCCCATTTTTCTTAGAGACACGCTGCTCGCGCCCTCACTGTCCATCCTTTGTGTCAAACGGTCTTATACTGCCGTTCTGTGGTCAAAAAAGGTATTACACTCAAAATTAACCAACATTTATTTTTAAATTTGACAATAATTACTAATTATTGTCAAATTTTAACCAATATTATCGTTTATCGCAATAATTTCTGAGACAATTAATCGCCCAGCAGAGTTTATTATCGTGACGGCCTAAGAAACGATCTACAGTCAGAACGAGCTCGTTCGCGCAAATGAGAAGTGATACAAACCACACCGATTGTCCTGCTCAAATAAATGTGTCCGGCCGGTGTCCTAGCTTCGTCACATTGGTCAAATCGGTTTCAGCCGCAAAGCCGGCCCACTTTTTCAGAAGTTGAGAGTCCTGAGCTACAGGTAGGGTGTCTCAGAACCAGAACCCTTGCTGCCTCGTTATGTCTTCTGAGTGAACCACGGTGGTCAGAACACGTGTCGGTCCTGGACTGAGGTGTCTTGTGAGAGAGGCTCTAGAACGGGTGCCCAATACGTAGATCGCGATCTACTGGTTGATCTCAAAGGTATTATGGATAGATCGCATGGCATTAAAAAACATAGACGTCAGCAATCTGTGAAACTTGTCACTTGATTGACAGACGGGGGGGCAGCCAGTCTGAGGCCCCGTTTACACGATGTGAAACGTTCGGTCGTTCATTTACACGACTGCGCTACAGTCCAAAGTTTTTCTGCACTAACAACAGTTATAATAAATGAAAGCAGAGTTGTGTTTTTTTCTTTTTTTTTTTTTTTTTTTTTTACTATTAGCCCTTTTTCAGCATGTAGGAGCAAAACTAATCAAATTGAGGGTTCAAAGAGACGTTAGTGTATTCACCAGTTTGGACGTAACAGATCATGAAGACGCTGCTTGCACGACGAGGGTTGCCAAATAAATTTAAAATGTTTCATTTACCCCCTTCTTTTCTGTGCACACGTTCATCAAACACAACACACAGCTCATCTTAGAATATCTTTACGCTGCACATATGACAGTTTTGAAGCGACTACTATAGTTCATCATTTCTTATCTGGCAACCTGACTGACGTCCAAAATACAGTGTTTTTGTGAGAACCCACTCGTTTTTTTTATTACCCCCAATAAACGTTGGAAAAAAAAGCCAACATTTCCAGAGGTCGTTCTCGTGTAAACGTGTACAGATAGATCACTTTGACTTGGTCTTTTTAAAAGTAGCTCACGTGCTGAAACAGTGTGGGCACCTTTGCTCTAGATGGTTCACCGATAGTGATTTTGTCGCTCAGTTCAATCCATTTTTACTTCTTGTAGTCCAGACTTGTATGGAATTTCTAAATTGACCTTTTAGGAACCCTGGTAGTGTAATTACCTTTAAAACCAGAATATTTCCAGTTTATTTTTACAAAAACCTCGTCACTCTGTCAATTTGACAACAGCTCCCTGAGAAACGCTCGTTTGTACTTTAAAGACATTTTATTGTTACATAAAAGTTTGGTTACTGTGTATATTCTTGTCATAACATGATAAATAAATTGACTTGTTTCAGAAAGAACGACAAGGAAGGATTGTCTGTTTCTAAAAGTGTCTTGTCTCTCCAGCTCTTTTGGATGACCTGGACAAGGAGCTAAATAACTACATCATGCGCTGCAGAGAGTGGTACGGCTGGCACTTCCCCGAGCTGGGCAAAGTCGTCACAGACAATCTGGCTTACTGCAGAACTGTCCGCACAGTCGGTAAGATCAGCTTCAGCAACAAACGCGGAACGTTCCCCCCTTTCAGGACAGAGTTTAACGTTAACTTGTGTTGAGAAAGCCAATAGAACAACTTCCAGTAGGTCTGTGTGTACGGTACTTTGGGAGATTATAAAGTCTGTCTGTAAAGCTGATCTCACCCTTTAAGTGGCGTTATTTATCCAAGGAGCCGGCAGATTTTTCAAACAGGAAATCTGATCAATTAACATCTAGGCCTGTCGCGATAAATCAATTAATCGCGTGATAAATTAAAATTATCAACCTCGTTTACATTTATCGTTTCTTTGTCTCTCACTTTCTACTGAAGACACTCGATGACAAGACTCAACTCCGGTGCTCTTCACTGACCCCTCCCTTTCTTTTTTCGCTTTAAAATTTGTTTTAACCGTCCAAAATCATGTTTTTGAGTCGTTAAGATCAGCTAAGCTAACAGGCCTACCTCAGGAAAACACCTCCGTCTTGTCGAAGCTCCAAAATTCACGGTTGAAACCCGTGCCTTCGTGTAAAAAGTTGTTTTTCTCTGCAAAAAATCAGCGGAGTACTTGTTTACTGATTTTTTAAATTTTTATTAAAAGCTTTGTGTGACAAATGCTATGCTAAAGAGCTCAAACCACACCGAGCGGCCGCCATTTTGAGAACCGAAGAGAGACGGCCCATGCCACGTCAAGGGGCTTCCCTCCCATTTTTCTTAAAAAGACATGCTACTCGCTCCCTCACTGTCCATCAGTTTTGTGCTGCCATTCAGTGGTCGAGAAAAGGTACTACACACAAAATTTGGCAATAATTACTCATTATTGACAAATTTCAAACAATATTATCGTTTATCACAATAATTTCTGAGACAATTAATCGCCTAGCAAAATTTGTTATCGTGACAGGCCTACTTTTTACTGTACAGTATCCAGTACTGTCCAAATCACATGAATAATATTAAAGTTAACGATCGTGTTGTGTACAATTTATTTTATTTATTTATTTTTCCCCTTGTGTTCAGTCTTCTTTTGAAAAACTGTGAAAGAGCGAGTCCGCGAAGTAGCGAGGTGTACAGGGTGTTTGCTTGTTCGGGCCATCGCTAAAGTTGCTCTATAAGTTTGTCGATGGGCGAATAATTAGCCGTGCTCTTGCTTTAGGTGATCGCACGAACGTGTCCAGCACCGACCTGTCGGAGATCCTTCCTGAGGAGGTGGAAGCCGAGGTGAAGCTGGCTGCTGAAATCTCCATGGGAACAGAGGTGTCGGAGCAGGACATCGCTAACATCCAGCACCTGTGCGATCAGGTACGGCTCGGGAAAGTCAGTCCCGATTTCTTTCTGCTGAGTTCAAGTGTCTGTGGTGATGATGACGACGTTTGTCTTCTTCCTGAAACAGTTCATGTGGGTTTTCAGTCACTACCTCATCTGAACAGTCACGTGACTTCGGCTGTTTTGGCCCGTTGTCGTTTCTTCGCTGGTTCATGCTGAACAGATGGTCTTTTTATTTATTTATTTTTTTTCCTAGGTGATAGAAATTTCAGAGTATCGCGCTCAGCTCTACGACTACCTCAAGAACAGAATGATGGCGATCGCCCCCAACCTGACGGTGATGGTGGGCGAGCTGGTCGGCGCCCGTCTCATTTCACACGCTGGTGAGTCCCAAAGCGTTAGAAACTCCTGGCAGGCAGTGATGATGAGGACAGCATGTCATCGTCCTGAATTTGACTGATGCTTTTAAGTCACTACCTCATCTGAGCCGTCTGGGATCAGGTCCAGGCAGGAAACTGTCCCCAGGGTTCCTGCAGACTCTGGAGGAGTATGGAAAATAAAAAAATTAATTGAACGAGAGAAAATGCTTTTCCAGCGAAAATGCAGTGTGGATGCTTATTGCTGAATTTGAACTTGCTGAAAAACAGCTGAAATTAGCTCAAATGTAGCTGAAATGGAAGAAGCCTGAATTAGCAGAGGAAAGCAGAAAGAACAAATATTTGCTTAATAGGTTTATTGGTAAATGAGCCAAAATTAGGAAATTGGTTTAAAAATTATTATGAAATTAGCAAAAATAGCATAAAAGTAGCTGAAAAGGCAGAAATTAGCTTAAACTACCAGAAGGAAGCAGAAAGAACTGAAATTAGCTACTAAAAAAGGTGGAATTGGCTGAAGAAGCTAAAATTAGCATCTAAATAGCTAAATAGTAGCTGAAAGAGCAGAAAAAGTTGAAATTAGCAGATTAAAGCTGAAAGGAGCATAACAAGCTGAAATGAGCAAAAACAAGTTAATTAGGCTGAAAGTAGCAGAAATTACCATGAAAAAAATGTGAATTTATCTGAAAACAGCTGAAATTAAAAAAATGCTTAAAAGCTAGTGGAAAAATTAGAACAAGCTTAAATTAGCAGAAGAAAGCAGAAAGAACACGTTTGCTCAATTACACTGAAAGAAGCAGAAACGAGCACAAAAATGTGGAAATTATCTGGGGAAAAAAAGCTAAAATTAGCAAAAACAGCCGGAAACCTTGCTAAATAGTAGCTGAAAAAGCTGAAACTTGCATACATAAGCAAAAGGTTGTAAACAGATCTATAGATTTGAAGGATGTAAAATGAGCTCAGTTCATTTTTATGAGAAAAAAATTGCAGAAAATGCTAAATATTTCATATGGCTATTTATGGCTTCAAACATTAAACCAGACGTAGGCAACTTATGGCCCGTGGGTCAAAGTGGTCTTCTGATAATCGCCGTCTAGCCCCCAATATCTGTAAGAATTGAAGATTGAAGAAGTCCTTTGGATGAAGGAAAAAACGTCTCGGGGAAAGAAAAAAGAAGAAGAAAGAAACCGTCCGGATGACCAGACTGAACATTGTTGGATTCTTACAGATAGTTTGTTTTTAAGAAGATTTATCGTATTTAACAATTCTTTATGCGACCGCTTTAAATATCTTGATTTGGCCCTACAGGGTGAAAACAATGTTGCCCAACCATTAGACAGCTGTAGACTTACATCCACTGATTATTTTCTGAGTGTTTCATTCTGTAGATATAAAGAAGACCTAATGGATAATAGAGTTTCAGTTACTTGGTTCTTTATGTTGACATGTTGGTGGACTCCAGTAAGATCTCTGCTCTGTGTTAAGGGTCCCTGCTGAACCTGGCCAAGCATCCAGCCTCCACGGTTCAGATCCTCGGAGCAGAGAAGGCTCTGTTCAGAGCCCTGAAGACTCGCAAAGACACGCCCAAGTACGGTCTGATTTATCACGCCTCTTTAGTGGGCCAAACTACAGCCAAGAACAAGGGCAAGGTAAGACGAGGACACCAGGCCGCTGGTGGGAGGCCGACCGGTGAAGACAAACTAACACCGTGGTGTCCTGTGACGTCCGCAGATCTCCAGAATGCTGGCAGCTAAAACTGCTCTGGCTATCCGCTACGACGCTCTGGGAGAGGACACGAACGCAGAGATGGGAGTAGAGAATCGCGCTAAGCTCGAGGTCAGACTGCGCCAGCTGGAGGACAAAGGAGTGAGTACAGTGAAGCACAGTAGATTGCATTTCTTGCGAAAAATGCACTGTGAATGCTTAATGCAGAAGAACTTTCTGAAAAACAGCCGAAGTGAGCTATAAAATACATTCTTGAAAGGAAGCTGAGATGGAAGAACAATACTAATTTAGCAGAAAGAACACATATTTGCTAAATTAGGTTAAAAAATGCAGAAATTGCCACAAAAATTAGGATATTAACTTTTAAAAAGCTGAAAAGGCAGAAAGAAGCTAACTACCAGAAAAAGGCAGGAGGAGCTGAAATAAGTTTTTATTTTTAGAAAGACCTGGAAAAGCTAAAAACAACATCAAAACAGCTAAATAGTAGCTGAAAGAGCAGAAATGGCAAAAACTAGCAGAAAAAAACTGAAAGGAGCATAAGCTGAAATTAGCAGAAAGAAGTTAGAATGAAAGTAGCTGAAATTACTGTGAAAACTTAAATTTATCTGACAACAGCTGAAATTAGCTAAAAATGCTAAAAGGGTAGCTGAAATTTTAGAACAAGCTCAAATTAGCAGAAATTACAGTGAAAACTTAGTTTTATCTGACAACAGCTGAAATTAGCTTAAAAAATGCTAAAGGGGTAGCTGAAATTTTAAAACAAGCTCAAATTAGCAGAAAGAAATTAATTAGGCTGAAAGTAGCAGAAATTACCTTGAAAACTTAGTTTTTTCTGAAAACAGCTGAAATTAGCTAAAAATGCTATAGGGGTAGCTGAAATTTTAGAACAAGCTCAAATTAGCAGAAAAATGTAAATTAGGCTGAAAGTAGCGGAAATTACCTTGAAAACTTAAATTGATCTGAAAACAGCTGAAGTTAGCTCAAAATGCTAAAAGGGTAGCTGAAATTTTAGAATAAGCTCAAATTGGCAGAAAAATGTAAATTAGGCTGAACGTAGCAGAAATTACCGTGAAAACTTAGTTTTATCTGAAAACAACACCGTCAAAGGAAAATGTTAGTCAGCGGCAGGAAGTTACTGAGAGAGTGCTGGAAGTTTGTCAAAATAAAATATAACTTGTAAAAATTCTGAAAAAAATACATAAATTAGCCGCTCCTGCATATAAACTGTGGGGTACAAAGTGTGAGAAAAAAGTAGCGGCTTGTACACCGGTAATTACGGTAGATGTCCTTTGCTGCCCTCTTTCAAACCTCTGGTCTCTTTTCAGCTCCGAAGAATCAGCGGAACGGGCAAAGCCACGGCCAAGGCTGACAAATACCAACACAAGAGGTGAGGAGATGCAGATTTCCTCTTTTTCCAAAGACAATGAATTTTCTAAAAAGGTAAATCAATTTTATTTTTATTTACTTCTCTCAGTGAAGTTAAGATTTACGATCCTTCTGGAGATTCCACCATTCCATCCACATCGAAGAAGAGGAAGTTTGAGGAGGTCAGGGAGGAGGAGGAGGAGGAGCCGGTGACGCCAGTGGTCAAATCCAAAAAGTCTCGAAAGGAACCAGAAGGTGAGTAAAACGTTGATCCTTCACTCGGATTTCTTAATTAAACTTAACATTTCTTGTGCTATTCAAAAAGAAGCTGAAACGCCAGCAGCAGAAACGACAGATCCTCCCAAGAAAAAGAAGAAAAAAGAGAAGAAAACGGAAGAAGAGCCGAAGGAGGAAGAGGAGGAAGTAGCCGTGAGCGAGGTCGGTTTTTAACATGGACGCTAATTCGTGAACCAAGTGACATTTTTCTTTTTAATCTGATTTTTTTTTTTTTTTCTTCAGACGACAAAAAAGAAGAAAAAGAAAGATAAGACGGCACAACAGGAGGAGCCAAAGGAGGAAGAGGAGGAAGTAGCAGTGAGCGAGGTCAGTTTTTTAATGTGGACGCTGATTCGCAAACCCTTCGACAAGTGACGTTTGTCTTTTTAACCGCCTGAATTTGTCTTTAGACGGCAAAAAAGAAGAAAAAGAAAGATAAGACGGCACAACAGGAGGAGCCGAAGGATGAAGAGGAGGAAGTAGCAGTGAGCGAGGTGAGAATCAAACACGTAAACTATTCCGAATGTGTGACGAATGCTTTTATGAACTGCTCACTCTTTGTTTTCCAGACATCAGAAAAGAAGAAAAAGAAGAAGAAAAAGAAAGTAAAAGAGGAAGACGATGAGTGAAAACATGGGGCGGTGTATATACTTTGTTTTAGTTAAGATTTTTTACATTTTTCTCCAGTATTTTATGTTTAAAGGCAGTATTAAGTGCCTGTCTGGTATGTTAAACCAGGGGTTCCCAACAGTGGTCCTTGAGGAACACCGTCCTGCATGTTTCAGCTGTTTCCCTGCTTTGACGCACCTGATTTGAATGATTGGGTGATTAACAGGCTTGTGCAGAACCTGAGGAAGTAATTCGCTGAATCAGGCGTTCTGTAGCAAACAACTGGAACATTCAGGATGGTGTTCCTCAGGGACCAGTGTTGGGAACCCCTGTGTTAAACAACAGAACCGTTGTCATTTTATGATGGAAAAAGAACAAACCAATAAAATCTGAGTTCTTGTTTGTTTTTTACCATTTCTACTTGACAGTTTGTACATTTAAATGTATCGTACAAATCTATGGACATAATTAAACAACAACAACAAAAAAAACATTTCAGTTGTGCAAACGGAAACTGTGAACTTTGTGCCTTGATAGAATAAAAACATGTAACTAAACATTGAATTTGGTTGTATCTAGTATCAAATAGAGGTTTAATCAGTTTCTGATGACAAGCACTTAACTAGATTGGTGTAACTTTCAAATATTGATTTGTTTTGTAGTATAAAAAGGAGATAGGACCATAGATCATTGATTTTTAACCATTTATTACAAGTCATGCCAAGCAACATCCCAGGGGTTAGACCGCCCCAAGCAAGAGAAACTTCAGTTTATTTATATAACGTAACATAGTATAGTAACGTTCTCTATCTTAAGGATGCCAGCAGATTGCATTTGGTTTTCATTTCGTCGCACTTCCATCCTGAGCAAGCACAAAGGCAACAGTGGAAAGGGAAAAACCCTCCAAACAGGAAGAATCCTCCGGCAGAACCAAGTTCAGGACAAGTGGCTATTGCTTCATGATCTTGGTCCATCTAACCACTGGAGTATTGGTCCATTTTTTAATGACAAAAGTTATTTCAGGTTAGATGAGCTGCTTGTATCCAACAATGTTTGGTTGAGGACTGGACCATTCAAGCTGTTTCTCCTTAAATCTAATGAATTGTTCCTCTGGTGGAGATTATCACAGCAACAGAATCAGCCATCCGCAACAACAAAATGAAAGAGGGTGAAGCAGAACAGCTCAGAATCAAAGTTTCATCCTGCCTCAGCAATGCCAAACCACCACCTTCCAACATCAGTAGAGAGGAGGGATGCACTCACCACTCTTAGCAAGGACAAAAACATCATCATTCTCCCAGCAGACAAAGGAAGGTGCACAGTGATTTTGAACCAGAAAGACTATCATGAGAAAGTTATGTCACTCCTTAGTGACGTAAACACATGAACCTCTGAAAAGAGATCCAGGAAGTGGTTACAAGAAGAAGTTAATAGATTGCCTGAAAAATTTGGAGCAGGACAAGGCTATTGACCATATTCTGTACCACAGACTGTACCCAGGGGAGGTCACACCTAATCTGTATGGTTTACATAAAATCCACAAACAAGGTGTATCTTTAAGACCAATCGTTAGCATGATTAACTCTGTCACTTACAATGTTTCCAAATATCTGGCGTCTGTACTCATCCCTTTAGTTGGCAGCTCAGAACACCACATACAGAACACCATGGACTTTGTGGACAAGGTGAGGGATGTCATCATGGAGACTGATGAAACAACGGTCTCTTGATGTCACATCACTCTTTACGTGCATTCCTGTTGATGATGCAGTAGAGGTGGTCAGTTTAAAATTAACATCAGACACCACTCTGAGCAGCAGGACCACGCTTTCCACAGAACAACTGTGTCAACTCTTGAAACTGCCTGCAGTCAACCTACTTCACATATGGGGAGCAATATTAGGCAGAAACATGGGTGTGCTATGGGGTCTCCAGTTTCTCCTATTGTTGCCAACCTGTACATGGAGGAGGTAGAAAAGAGAGCCTTGACGTCCTTTTCAGGGACACCACCAAGTCTTTGGTTCAGGTATGTTGACGACACCTGGGTTAAAATTAAATCTCAGGAAGTCCAACATTTTACTGACCACATCAACTCTGTGGATAAATACATCAAGTTCACACGAGAAGATGTAAAAAATGGCTGGTTGGCTTTCTTGGACTGTGAGGTCTCAGTCTCTGATAGAGGACATTTGCAAACTGAGGTGTACCGCAAACCCACCCACACAGACCAGTATTTGCAGTTTGACTCCCATCACCCTTTGGAGCACAAGTTAGGAGTCATCAGGACTCTGTACCACAGAGCAGACAGCGTCCCCACTAGCTCAGGAGCCAGGCAGAAGGAGAAATCCTACACAAAACAGGCTCTAGAGCAATGTGGATATCCTAACTGGGCCTTCCTGAAAGCAGAGAAGAAACCCAAACAGGACTCCAGTCAGCCATCAGGTGAAAAGGAGGAACCCAGACCAGTGGTCATTCCGTATGTTGAGGGAGTATCAGAGAAACTGAGACGTTTATTTTCTAAACATAACGTCCCAGTGGCTTTTAAACCCCAAAATACATTATGGCAAAAACTGGTTCATCCCAAAGATCCAGTCCCCCGGCACAAACAGAGTAATGTTGTGTATGCTGTTCAGTGTCAGGAGGGCTGTGATCAGTCTTACATCGGGGAAACTAAACAGCCACTGGCCAAAAGGATGGCCCAGCACAGAAGATCAACATCATCAGGCCAGGACTCTGCAGTCTACACTCATCTCCAGGCCAGCGGTCACTCTTTCAGGGATGAAGATGTTCACATCCTGGACAGAGAGGAACGATGGTTTGAGAGAGGAGTAAAGGAGGCCATCTTTGTGAAAAGAAACCGTCCATCATTAAACAGGGGTGGAGGCCTCCGGGTTCAATTGTCCCCCTCTTACAATGCTGTGATTGCTAGTATCACTCAGCCCTCTGTGAATAGTAAACAGCCATCAGTGTGCTAATGATCCATTGTTAGGCTGATGGTCCTTCTTGAGCATGTGATCAGCTGGTTTTGGTTGTCAGCAGCAAACTGGTTGATCCACTCTGAGAAGGTGCTATTTAAGAGACGGAGCTGAAAACAGCACCTCAGACTGAGGAAGTCTCTTGGATGAGAGATGAAACGTTTCTAGATTTTTTTGCTTTGTTTTGTTTTTTGTTTTTTTGAATGTCCAGAGGACCAGATTGAACTTTCTTGGATTAATGAATTGTTGCTTCTACTGTTGGAGTCTGCAACCTTTATGATCAAAAGAGCCATTACTGCCCCTTTGCACACTATTGTATTTTTTTGGACTGACGCATTAATAAAAATTTTAAAAAAATCAAACCACAATAACTACTATGTTTAGTTGTACCACATAAATTCGTTTCAAGGTAAGTAAGCATAAGCAGAATTAATACATAAGGCGCATAATGTAAAATACAATGACTCAAATTATATTGTGAATAGTAGGTCATCAAATCGGTGTCAGTTGAGTCAAATAAGTTGCCTGTAGGGATTTTTAAGTTCCAGCAGGTGTCCGTATGCAGTGACACTATCAATACAGTTTGGCAATGTGTTGAAACTTCTCATCGACCCATCACTACAAGAATCCAAGGTACAGGCGTATGGTCGTAAATCCAAAAAGACGAGACGTGATCATCAGGCATGAACATGAAACAATGAATGGCTTGGTAGTGAGGACTATGGGGGGTATAAGCGGCACTGGTGGAGAGAGAATAGAGCTGAACAGGTGCATGGAATGAAGGCTGATTGCTGCGCTTAGGCTCAAGGGGTGTGGTGACTGACAGGAGCAATGACAGATGGGTGATAAGCAAAACACATTAGGAAAACGGAAACAAATGTCAGCGGGGGACCGCTGACCATTACAGGTAGTTCTGATAAGCCTGCACAGAAGGTTTTTTTTTTTTTTGGGGGGGGGGGGGGGGTGATAGATGGAGCTTTTGTCCCTACCCATGTCCCAGGATAAATTTGATAGTCAGCTTGTATCCGAGGCCAGATTCAGATAAGCCACAATTGTTGATTTTTCTTCAGGCAGACTTTATTCTCATCAGTCTTGAGTCCTGCTGGAACTTTCTTGGTCCAAAATGGCCAAATTTATAGGTATTTCACTCGACTGATCCACGTTATGAGCCTCCTCAAGGTCGATCCCAACATGCTGACGAGTCCTAGGAGCCGCAGGTGGCCTGCGACTCTCACAAATCGCCTGCATCTTACTGTTTAGCTCATAAATCAGCTGATTTTGAGTACTAGTAGCACAAACCAAACACAGACTTGGAAGCTTTCTATGGTCGAAACTGCTGCCAATGTCTTCAAGTTGACAAAACTGAGTTTGGTTTGTGAAATTTTTTTTGATTCAGTCTTGTTCTGGAAACATGACAAAGTTTTAGTCTACACATCAAAGTTTGTGCTCAATAATCCAGGTAAATAATCTAACATCAGTCATCTGGACAGTTTCTTTTTTTGTTCAGACGTTTCGTCCTTAATCCAAAGGACTTCATCAGTCCGAGACACCACAACAAACTCAGTCTTACAAGCAGCACACTCACATAGTGGACCAACCAGTTTGATGGCGATAAAATGGTTTCTGGGGCCCGCCCTCTCCGCTGTCAACTCCTCTGAGGCAGCCATAGCCAAAATGGTTCAAAACATCAAAGTTCATGCTCAGTAATCCAGGTTTAAAAAAAAAGTCCAACAAAGTTCAGTCAGGTCACCTTGAGGGTTTCGTTTTTTTGTTGAGACGTTTCGTCCTTTGTTGTGGCTCCTCAGACTGATGAAGTCCTTTGGATGGAGGACGAAATGCCAAAAAAAAAAAAAAGAAATCGTCCAGATGATTAAACCATGGCTAAAATAAAACACATTGTGAAAAAAACCAAGTTTCATTGCTGAAATGCATTTTTATTAAGTTAAAGTTGTTTTATTTTCAGTTAACAACATTTAGAGGCCAGGTGGGAGCTGTCCAAGGGCCGATTTTCATATATTGTCTATGTTTAATTTAAGGGATTTGACCTTCAGGAAGGTCAACATGTCTCAAACCTCTGGAAAACTGCACTATCTTTCCTCTGAGCAATTTCCCATTCTTTGCTAAAAAAAAAACAAAAAACAGAACGAGCTCCACATCATGAAACTTCCACTGCCATGCTTTACTGTGAGGATGGGGTTCTTTTGTCCAAAAGTTCATTCTCAGTTCCTGGTGACCTAAGCATCCTCTACACAGAGAGGAAACTCCAATTCTGCTTCATTTTTTCCCCTCTAAGAAATTATTTCTTTTTTTTTTTTCCAGATCTCTATTTCATAAAGTTCTGCTTTGGTCCTTTATGCTGTTATTATGTTTTAAATGTAGTAATTTTTTGACATGTGGACCTTGAAAATTTCTTTAATCTTTGATATTAAAATACCCATCAGCTTGTGTTAGTTGCGCAATAGCCATTTCTGCTGGTCATTAGAGGAGTAAAGTAAAAATTAACACAAACCTTCCACCTAATTCTCCTTTTTTAATAAATAAACACATGTTTGTTCATTCATTCAAAATATGTATTTTAAAAAGTGAAAATTCTTACGTTCAATTCACTAAATATCTAAAATACCACTAAAATATCTGGGTTCATAGGTTTATTGACGTGACTAAACCCAGGTGCTTATGTTATATTCATAATTAAAACATTTGTGGATCAACTTTAAGCGTATTTTTCCCTTTTTTCCCATCGCGTCAAACAGCCAGACATTATTAAACGAACACCGATCCAAAGTCTCGATTCTATCTGTGTTCGACTTGTAGGGTCCTCCTTCACACCACATGGCAAGACTACACGGGAGTTGAACGTCTGTGCGTAGCTGCACAGCTAATTTTAAAACTTTTAATCTCCTTCAAAGACTCGGATAGAAGAAACATGTCACAGCTACAGGCGAGGTTTTTCACACAAGATAAAAGGTGAGCCAGTAAACTGGAAGTGACGGTAACAGGCTAGCTAAACAGTTAGCTGTTTTTGCTACGCTGCGGTAAATATGTATTTTTTTCAGGTTCATGTTAAAGCTGGTGTCGGTTAATGCGCATGCGCTGCAAACTTGTCTTTCTGCTCGCGTGAGCAGCCGTTCTACGTGTTTAGCTATTTTAAGCTAAAGCTGCAAGTTCCTTCGTGGCTATTCATCACATTTGGTCTCAATTGAACGCGATGAACACAATTTGTGTATTTTAATTTAATTTTGTTTTGTAGGTACATAGTAGACGACGTTCCTTTCTCCGTCCCGGCTGCCTCAGAAGTTCAGGACCTCAGTAATGTCATCAACAAGCTGCTGGAGGCTAAACATGGTAAACACATTTTGTTGGAAAGCTAGCAAACAATTCCTCCTAAATTTACATGAGGGGAAGCTAAATTTACTCTACAATAAAAGCCTATATGTAATAAACATTGTTATATCATCATCATTTATGTCACATTATAGCATACCATATATATATATATAGTATACATACCACTGTATTATAGAGCACTTAAAACAGCAACAAGGCCAACCAAAGTGCTGTACAGTAGAACAAACAAGCAAATAAAAATATAGATACGAATGGAAGAAGATAACAACTAAATGTCTAACACGTGTAGAATACAAACGGGTTAAAAACAAATCGCAGTGTCAAAAGCCAGGGAATAAAAGTGGGTTTTTAAGCGAGACTTAAAAACGGTGAGAGATGGGGCCTACCTGACATCCAGTGGCAACTCGTTCTACAGTCTTGGACCAGCAACAGAGAAAGTCCTGTCACCTCTGAGCTTACGGCGGGTTCCTGGAACCGAAAGAAGCATCTGATCTGCTGACCTCAGAGAGCGCTGTGGGAGCATATGGCTGCAGCAGATCAGTGAGCTAAAAGGGGGCAGAACTGTTCAGTGATTTAAAAACATACAAAAGGATTTTGAACTGAATTCGAAAGTGAGCCAGTGCAGGGAGGCCAAAACTGGTGTAGTGTGCTTTCTTTAGCCTGTACCAGTTAAAAATCGGGCTGCAGCATTTTGGACCAGTTGGAAACGTGCAGTTGGAGTCTGACTGATTCCAAACAGAAGCACACTGCAGTAATCGAGCCTGGATGTTCTCAACGCATATATTACTTTCTCAAGGTTATTTTTGGACAGTATGGGCTTCAGTTTAGACATTCGCCTCAGCTGAATAAAAAACAGGATTTAACAATCATGTTTACATGTTTAGCTTCATAGAAGGATCCATTATCACTCCCAGATTTGTGACTCTTTTGTTTTTCTAACGGGGCTAGAGAGGAGAGGTCGATACCGTGGTTCTTGATCGTACCATTACAATGAAACAACATGACTTCAGTCTTCTTCTCCTTAAAACTTAAGAAATTGAAAGACATCCAGTCCCTGAGGTCAGCCAGGCAGTCAAGAAGAGGTTGAATAGAATGTGCACTGGTGTGCTTCAGAGGGAAGTAGATTCGACAGTCATCAGCGTAGAAAGGAAAGGGTATGTTATGTTTACGGAAAATAACACCTAGTGGCAGCAGGTCTAAAGAGAAGAGAAGAGGGCCGAGGATGGACCCCTGTGGTACCCCCCACAGAAGAATTGCCGATGATAAACTAAAATCCTTAATGTTGACAAAAGGTTCTGTCAGAGAGGTAGGATGTAAACCATTTGAGGGCTGACCCTGTGATGATTTTGATGTCAAATGTGGGTGTACCTGCTAATATTTTTAATACACACTGTTTACACACACTGTTTTGTTTTCGCAGGGTCTCACACCAAGGTGGAGTTCGACTTCTTGGTCAATGGTCAGTTTCTGCGAGTTCCCCTGGCCTCTCACATGGAGACAGAAGGAATATCATCGGTATGAGCTCCCACTGCACTGACACTGATGATGACTACGGTTCCTGTAATGTAGCCGTCACGTAACCCATCACTGGGTGGGATCTTTCACAGGGGGGTGCTTTACACTGACAGAACAAATTGTTCTACAGATGCCTCTTAATGGGGGCTAAAAAGTGCAACAGTGTTGTGGGGAAATAATACTATGACTGGGATGTTTTTATTAGCGGTAATAGAATTGTCCTCCATCTTCTGTCGCTCATCCGTAGTTGGTAGAGTCAACGGGTCCAGGAGAGAAGCCCAGACTTCTCTCTCCCCATTGACTTTCTCCAGCTCCTACTGGGGGAACTCGGGGCTTTCCCAGACCAGAGACGATATCTAATACCTCTAGAGCAGACGTGGGCAATATATGATCCGAGGGCCAAAAGTGGCCCGTGAACAATCTATCCGGCCCCTTATTATTCTTAATTGAAAAGAAAACATTTAAATAAGTTAATGGAAACCTGCATTTTATCAATGAAAATCAAGGAAATCTAAACTAGAGAAATTGCATTTCCAGTGAAAGTACAGTGCAAATGCTTATTGCTGAAGAACTTGCTGAAAAACAGCTAAAATTAGCTTAAAAAAATACTGAAATGTAGCTGAAATGTAAGAACAAGTCTAAGTTAGCAGAGGAAAGCAGAAAGAACACATACTTGCTGAATTAGGTTTAAATAAACAGGAATGAGCACAAAAACTAGGAAATGAGCTAAAATAAATAAAAAAAAAAAAGGCTGAATTTCACGAGGAAAAAAAAGTTGAAAAGTAGCTTTAAAGGTTAAAAGAAGCTTAAACTAGCAGAAGGAAGTGGAAGGAGCTGAAATGAGCTAAACAAATGTGGAATTAGCTGGAAAAGCTCAATTTAGCACAAAAACAGCTAAATAGTACCTGTAGCAGAAAAGATTAAAAGTAAATAAGTAAGTTCTGCTAATCCAAAAAGTTCTGTTAATCAAAAAAACGGCTAAAACTATCTTTTTAGTTGACTTTTTTAATGTTTTAATTTAAATGTTTATTTTGCATATTTAAGCTAACAAATTATATTTTCACAAGATGAAGTTTACAGCCTTACATCCTAAAGATTAATTGGGAAGACGTTTGTTTTTTTTTCAAGTATGCTAACAATGATAATTACAAGAAAAGGCCTGAAAAAAGTCTCCTATGAAATCCGTTTTAAAGAAAATGTATTTTCTAATTCTCTATGGGGCCCTTTGTTTGAGTTCAATATCTTGATTTAACCTTGTGGGGAAAAAAAAAAACAGTTGCCCACCCCTGCTCTAGAGTATCATGGGACTTCCTGGAGCCTGTTACCAGTTGGGTGTTCCCAGAAAACCTCCAAAGGGAGGTGTTCCAACCAGATACCTGGACTGCTTCAACTGACTCCTTTCGATGTACCGGAGCAGCGGATGTACTCCAAATCCCCCCCGGATGATGGAGCTCCTCACCCTATCTCTAAGGCTGAGCCCCCCTACGAAGGAAGCTCATTTCGAAGACTTCTATCCGGGATCTCGTTAATTTGGTCATGATCCAAACCTCAAGACCATAAGTGAAAGTTGGAACAGAAATGAACAATTAAATTGAGAACTTTTCCTTTTGACTCGACACTTTCTTCACCGCAACTGACCAAAGCAACCTCCTCATTACTGAAGATGAGGCTCCAATCTGTCGCCCCGTCCTAGCATCATTCCTAAAAAAGACGCCCAGATACTGAAACGCCTCCACCTGAGGCAAAGACTCGCCACGACCTGGAGGGGCCACTCCACCCATTTCCAGTCCAGTTGACAGTTGTCCTGCAAATCTGTTCACATTTCAGTGCTCATGATGACAAATATGTGATACAACCTGGTGCTGCAGAAGCTCTTGAACTGTCTGAGAACACAACAGTATGCAGGTGTTGGTCATAAAATTAGAATATCATACAAAAGTTGATTTTGTTTCAATAATGTCATTCAAATATGGCACCCCAAACTATCACTGACTGTGGAAACTTGACACTGGACCTCAAGCAATGTGGATTCTGTGCCTCTCCTCTCTTCCTCCAGACTCTGGGACCTTGATTTCCAAAGGAAATGCAAAATTTACTGTAATCAGAGAACATAACTTTGGACCACTTGGCAGCAGTCCCAGGCGAGACACTTCTGATGCTGTTTCCTGTTCAAGAGTAAGGAATGGGACAGCTGAAACCCATGTCTTGCATACATCTGTGCGTGGTGGTTCTTAAAGCACTGGCTCCAGAGCTCTGAACAGCCAGCCTCTTCAGCAATGACTTTTTGTGTCTTACCCTCCTTGTGCAAGGTGTCAATGGTCGCCTTTTGGACAACTGTCAAGTCGGCAGTCTTCCCCATGATTGTGTAGCCTACAGAACTAGACTGAGACCGTTTAAAGGCCTTTGCTGGTGTTTTGAGTTATTGAACCTTTTCACAATATTCTAATTTTCTGAGATACTGAATTTGGGGTTTTCAGTAGTTGTCAGTTATAATCATCAACATTAAAAGAAAAACATTTGAAATATATCAGTCTGTGTGTAATGAATGAATATAATAAACAAGTTTCACTTTTTGAATGGAATTACAGAAATAAACTTTTTCACAATATTCTTATTTTATGACCAGCACCTGTACACGCAAGACAACATACAGTATGTAGATTATTAATGGATAGAAGGGAGTTCCCATACCATCCAGTATGGCAGCGGAGCTGCATCAGCCCATTTATAAAGCTGACAGATACTCCTGCTCGGATCTGTCTAATCCCTGGCATGTTCGACTTGACATTTCTTTATCTGTTAAAAATCATCAAGCCGTCTCCCTGATCCTTCTGCTACGATGCTCACCTGTGTTTCAGGAAGACGTGGTGGAGATTGAGTACGTGGAGCGGATTACGGCCCCCGAGCCACAGGAGTGTTTGATGCACGACGACTGGATTAGCTCTGTTGACGCAGACGCTGAATGGTAAGATCTCAAGAGAGCACCGGGATGGAAAGTCAATTCTCTCCTTCCAAACTTTCTGGTTTGGTTTGTGACTCGGTTACATCACGTTATTATTTTATACAATTTCTTTTTAATGAAGTCTGTAAATGAACCGGCTTTTTTTTTTTTCAGTCAGTATTGTGCCTCACAGAAAAATCACCAGAAATAATCAATTGAATTCTGGTATTTTTTTAATTTATTATTATTTTATGACCATTTATGTTCCTTAGGAGGAAAACTGACCAACTTAACTTCTTAAAAATACAATTTAATTTATTTATTTTTCCCACAAAAATCTAGTTGGTCTTTTCAAACTATCTCAGCCTAAAATAAAAGCATCAAATGTAAGTGACTTTATTTTTTAAACTCTCTACGGGTCTTTGGTTTAAAAAAAAAAAAAAAGCACAAAATATTTATTTTACATCAGTTTTGGAAGAGGAAAGAAGCGTGGGGGGGGGGCTCAAAATAATTTTTTGATTATCCAGCAACGTTCAGTCAGTTCATCTGTACAGTTTCTTTTGTTGACTTTTCATCCTTCATCCAAAGGACTTCATCAGTCCAAGGAGCTTGAAGGACGAAATGTCTCAACAACAAAAAAAAAAAAAAAACGTCCAGATGACCTGACTGAACTTTGTGGGATTTATTTTTTTTTACCTGGATTATTGAGCATGAACTTTGATGTTTTGAACCACTTTGGCTATGGCTGCCTTGGAGGAGTTGGGTGGGGGTGGGGGGGTTGCACAGAGACCATCATATCATCAGCAAACTGGTTGGTCCACTATGTGGATGTGCTGCTTTTGGGACTGAGTTTGCTTGTGGCTCCTCTGACTGATGAAGTCCTTTGGATTAAAATTGCATTCGAGCATAAAAAAATCCAGCCCGAGCCCGTATCATTTTTTCCTAGCTCGACGCAGCGGCTGGGTCCAGTTAAGCTTCAGGTGGGACGCTGGCAGTGGTCCATCTGTAGCTTAACTGAACTTGTTTTTACCTCCTCCAACCGGCAGGTCAGCGCGCAGTCATACGGCTTCACGCAGCTGGTGATCCAAATTGGCTCGTCAGCCGTGCACGTCCGCTGGCGCAATCAAAAGCCCGACCGGGCCCGCGCATCCAGCACATTATTTTGTCCCGGTTTTTGATTAGAAATGACAGCTCAACTTTGGATGAAGGATGAAACGTCTCAACAACAACCAAAAAGAAACCATCCAGATGACCTGACTGAACTTTATTGGATTTTTTACCTGGATTATTGAGCATGAACTTTGGGATTTTTTAGTACCGGTATTTTTTTTAAACTTCGTACTTAGTCGTGTCATCCACTCTTCAAACATGGGCATTTTATTCTAATGTAATTTTTAAAATAACATTATCTTTATTTGTTATTTCTACTTTCTAAATTGTGTTTTGTTTGTTCTGGCTTGAGTATACGAGCTGCAGGTGCACGGTCCGCCCGCTAATGACTTCCTGCCTTCCAATAAACTGACGACAGTCCGCCGTGGGACGTCCGATCCTGCAGCCTGCATGCATGTTAAACCCATTTTAGTACTAAATGTTCACTTGTGCACATTACAAGTGAGTCTTTGCTCTTTTCTAAAGTAGAATGTTTATTTTTTACCAGTTAAAAAAAACCAACTCTTTACTAATTCGTCAACCTTTCCTTGTTTTGACAGTCAACTTGAACAAATCTAAAACAAAGCCCAATGTCGAAAACGAGAGTCGGAATTAAGGTTTCAAACCAGGAAGTAACAAATTCCTTCAATTTAGAGTCACAGTTTGCTCCATCTTGCTGTCTGTTTGCAGGATCCTCACAGGTTCTTATGATAAGACGGCCAGGATCTGGTCTACGGAGGGAAAAGCTGTGATGACGGTGGCCGGACACTCCGATGTTATCAAAGACGTCGCCTGGGTCAAAAGAGGTGAGCACGCTAACCCTTCAGACATCCCTTCTCTGGGAATCACCGACATTAAACTCTGCCTGTGCTTCCTGCGTAGACGGTCTGACGTCTCTGCTCCTGACGGCCTCTCTGGACCAGACCATCCTGCTGTGGGAGTGGAACTCCGAGAAGAACAAAGTGAAAGCCAGGCACTGCTGTCGAGGCCACACAGAAAGTGTGGACACCATTTCCACAGACCCCACCTGCTCTAAGGTAAAAAATGTAGGGGAGAGGAAAAAGGTAGACGGAGGTGACTTGAACGTGTGTCTCAGGGTGTTTGTGTTTGTCCTCTTTAGTTCTGCAGCGGTTCCTGGGACAAAATGTTGAAGCTCTGGTCAGCAGGTAAAGTCAAGTCAACTTTATTTATAAAGCACAAGATGAGTTTTTAGCAGAGATTTAAAAATAGGAAGAGAAGTGGCCTGCCTAATGTTGGGGGGGCAGATTATTCCAAAGTTTGGGAAAAAGCCCGATCTCCTCTGAGCTTCTATCTTGTTTTTGGAACAACCAAAAGCAACTGGTCAGATGATCTCAGCGCCCGAGAGGGAACATACCGTTCCAATAGCTCAGCGAGATAAGGGGGGGTGAGGCCATTTGTGCACTTAAAGGTTAACAGGAGAATTTTAAAATCGATTCTGGTACGGTACGTACAGGGAGCCAGTGAAGGGAGGACAAAACTGGTGTAATGTGATCAAACTTACGAGTTCCTGTTAATGGCCGAGTTGCAGCATTTTGGACGAGCTGGAGACGGGAAATGGAGACCTGACTGACCCCAACATATATTGCGTTGCACTAGTCCTGTCAGGTAGTGATAAAGGCATGGAATAGTATTTCAAGGTCAGATCTGGATGGCACTGACTTGAGCTTAGCTATCTGCCTCAACTGGAAGAAGCTTTTCTGCAGAACAGAGTTGGTCTGTTTTATTAAACTTAAAGTCAGAGTCTAAAACCATCTTGAGATTAGTAACAGACTGCTTAAGATATCACTGAAGGGAATGCAGGATAACAGGATCAGAGATGGCGGTAGAGGGCTAAACACAATGACTTCAGTCTTCTGATCATTAAAACTTGAACTATTTGAAGCCATCCATGCCTTCATGTCGTCAAGACATTTTAACAGAGGGTGAATGGACCAGGAACTGTTAGGTTTCAAGGGCAGATAAATCTGACAGTCATCAGCATAGCAATGAAACGAAAGACCATGTTTCCTCAGGATAGACCCCAAAGGGAGCAGGTAGAGTGAAAACAGAAGGAGTCCAAAAATTGAGCCCTGCGGGACACCGCAGGAAAAAGGCACTGAAGCAGAGACACTATTACCGACCTTAACACTGAAACTCCTCTCACTTAGGTACGAGTGGAACCATTCTAATGCTGCACCAGTAGTCCCAACCCAGTGTTCCAGCTGCGATATAAGGATGCTGTGGTCACCAGTATCAAAAGCAGCAGTAATGTGTAGGAGCGCAAGTTGACCAGAATCATTTGATGATCCCAAATTCAGAACAATTAAAAAGTTCTTGCTCTTTTTACCAGCGTTGACGCACGGTCGATACTCAGAATACACCTGTCCAGCAAATACATTTGCTGAGGAAGAACTCCGTTTGCCCCGAGACTTCACTCGTGTTGTATTTTTTGTGTTTCCAGTGCCTACAGACGAAGCAGACGAGGTGGAGGAACCTGCCGGCAGACCGAGGAAGAAGCAGAAGACTCAGCAGCTCGGCCTGACCCGGGTGAGTACAGAGCCATCTGAAAACAATCGCTCCAGCTTTGAAAGAGGCGAAGTTCACGGTTTCTCTGGCTCACGCAGACTCCTTTGATGACATTATCTGGACACAATGAAGCAGTGTCTTCTGTCCTGTGGAGCAGCAGCGAGGAGGTTTGCAGTGCATCCTGGGATCACACCATCCGAGTGTGGGACGTTGAGAGTGGAGCAATGAAGACTACGCTGGTGAGAAAAACAAAATGGAGTTTTAGTGTAGACGTGACAAATACAATCAGGTGTCTCACACAGGCATGGACCAAAATACAGTTAAAAATAATGTGCAATGTTACAAAAAGGTGAAACAGAAAGAGAAATATTTGGTGCAGTAAACACAGTTTACATCTGTAGGAATTACTTTTTCTGAATGCAGAGTTCTGAATGACGACAAAATTTTGTTGAAGGTGAAATTTGGCTTAAAAGCTAAAAATAGCAAAATGTTAACTTAAAATTGAAAGTATCAAACTGTAAAAAGATGCTAGCTAAAATTTAAAAGTAGCAAAACACTAGGTGAAAGTAGTGCAGGCTAACTAAAAGTAGCTCAACTGTAGCTAAAAGTAGTAAAGCATTATCTAAAACTAGCTAAAGGCATTTCATGAATTAAATGTATCGAAACACTAGCTAAAAGTAGTGAAACTGTCAACTAAAGTTAGAAAATTACTAATTAAAAAGCAAAATGCTAGCTAAAACTTGAAAGAAGCCAAAACCTTAAAATTGCCAAATACTAACGAAACCAGTGGTTCCCAACCGTGATCCTTGAGGAACACCATCCTGCATGTTTTACTTGTTTCCCTGCTTTGACGCATCTGATTTAACCGGTTTCTGCAAAACTTGAGGAGGTAATTAAATCATTGAATCAGGCATGTTGGAGCAGGAAACAACTGAAACATGCAGGACGGTGTTCCTCAGGGACGAGGATTTGGACCACTGAACTAAACACGAAAAGTAGCAAGGCTAGCTAAAGTTTCAAAGACTAGCTAAATGTAACAAAAGTTTGAAAAATGTCTATAATGTGTATTTGAGTTATTTTTAAAGTGCCCTCTGATTGTAATTCTAAAAGATTAATGTTAATACTTGAGATTAAATAAAAGTGTCATATCATTATAACTAAAATATTTCAATCAACCTTTATTTAAACGGGTAAATCCCATTGAGCCTCGAGGACTCGTTTACAAGAGAGACCTGATTTCAACAAAGAATGATGACAACAATGGACAACAGCAACAACAATAAACGGTTATAAAAAGTCATACAAATTTTTTATTTTTTTTTTTTTTTTTACGAATAGGATGGCTAAAAAAAGAGAAGTAACAAAAACAGCTAGAGTCCAAGGCGAATGTAGAAAACTAAAAACAGGAACATGTCCGCATTGGTCCCTGCCAGGAGTCCAACAGATTCTTAAAGCCACTTAGAGAGGTCAAGGTCGAGAGCTTCAGATCTTTTTGTAAGATATTCCAGGAAACAGGAGCGGAGTAGGAGAAGGTCCTTGTGCCTAGTTCAGTTCACACTGAGGGAACACTGCAGGTAATAATGTCCTGAGAGCGCACGCTGTAGCTGCACTCACGCAGAGACAAGTAGGAGGAGATGTATGAAGACAACAGACCAAGAAGTGATTTAAAGATGAAAATGTACCAGTGAGAGAGTCTGCATGAATTAATGATGACCAGTTAACCAGTGAATACTGGGTGCAGTGGTGGGTACGATAATCACAGCCAGTTATGAATCTTAGTGCACCATGATAGACAGCATCCAACATCTGCAGGGAGTTGTAGGAGCGTTCATGTAAATAATGTCACCGTAATCAATGGAGGGAAGGAAAGTCACAGTTACAAGGTGTTTTCTAGCATTCAGGGTTAGACAGGATCTGCTTCTGAAAAAGAAACCCAGTTTAACTTTCAGTTTCTTTACCAAGTTTTCCACAGGAAGCTTAAAAGAGAGATGCGAGTCGACCAAGATACCCAAATATTTATAGGAATCAACAAACTCAATGGGGACACCATTTGAGGAAAAAATCAGAGGAAGAACTGCTGGGACCAACTTCCTATTTGAAAAAAGCATCCCTTTGGTTTTGTCGGCGTTTAGGACAAGTTTGAGGCGGAACAAATCCGTCTGGATGATGAATGCAGGTTTCAAAAGATGGAAAACCTTATCAACTGTTTTAGCTCGACGTATAACAAAAAATGTATAACAATTATTTAACAGTTGTGATGTTTAGGCAGTAGCAGTAATAGTATTTGCATTTCTGCTGTTAATTAAAAGTAAATAAGTCACTTTTTTTTTTTCTTCCATACATTTTTCGGCACAGTTCTTGTCCCGCAGCTTTCAAGCTATTGGTCTTGGTTCAACTTTAGGTTTTTGAAATATTTAGCCTTTTCTGCCATTTTTTTCCTCCATAGAAAATAAATTTAGCTCATTTTCCATCATTCATATCTTTAGATCTGTTTACAACCTTTTACTGCTCCTTTCATTTTTTGTTCTGCTTCAACTTCTTTCAGCTTCCTTGTGCAATTTTAAACATTTTTCAGCTGTTTTCAGCTGGCTTTTTTTAAGCTGTTTTGTGCTTCTTATAAATTCTTTCTACTAACTAGATGTTTGTGCTAACTTCTTTTGGCTATTTTCAGCTTGCTCTTCTCCTTTCAGCTTATTTCTGCAATTTTCAGCCTTTTCGGCTACTATTTAGCTGGAGGGTTTTTTTGTTGCTAATTTTAGTGTTTTCAGCTTATTCCACATTTTTTGCACTCATGTAAACTTTTTTCAGCCTAATTTGGCAGAAATGTGCTATTTCCACTTCCTTCATGTAATTTCGGCTTCTTTTTGCTTTTTTTTTTTTTTAACCTACTTTCAGCAGTCTATTGCTGATTTCAGCTTTTTCCAGATAATTTCCACTTTTTTCGTCTCATTTCTGCTTCTTTCAGCCTAATTCAGCAAAAGTGTGTTCTTTCTGATTTCTTCTGCTAATTGAACAATGTTCTACCTTTTCAGCTAGCTTTTGAGAAATATTTTAGCTACTTTTAGCTGTTTTCAAATAAAATCAAGTTTTGTTTTTTTTTTGGTAATTCCTGCTACTTTCACCCTAATTAACTTCTTTCTGCTAATTTAAACTTGTTATGCTCTTTTCAGCTAGTTTCAGCTATTATTTAGCTGTTTTATGCAAATTTTAGTTTTTTCAGCTAATTCCAGATTTTTCGAGCTCATTTCAGCTCTTCCTCTTCATAGGTTCTTTCTGCCTTTTCAGCTACTTTTTAGTAGATTTTTTTGTTGTTGCTAGGTTTGTTTTTTTTAGCTGATTTCCTAATTTTTGTGCTCATTTCTGCTTATTTAAACCTAATTCAGCAAATATATGTTCTTTCTGCTTTTTTCTGCTAATTTAGACTTGTTCTTCCATTTCAGCTACATTTCATCTTGTTTTTTAGTTAATTTCAGCTGTTTTTCAGCAAGTTCTTCTGCAATAAACTGCATTTTTGTAGGAAATGTCTCTTCAGTGTTTCACAGGACAGTTATTGTCTTTTCGCAGACGGGCAGTAAAGTGTTTAACTGCATCTCCTACTCTCCGTTGTGTCGACGGCTGGCCTCGGGCAGCACGGACCGACACGTGAGACTCTGGGACCCTCGCACCAAAGGTACCACTCCGCTCAGTAGACGCCCCACGTTCGTTCTTGACTTTCTTTTTATTGTATACCTTTTTATGTGTCACGCTCCTCGTCAGATGGAACTCTGGTGCTGCTGTCTCTGACCTCCCACACCGGTTGGGTCACCGCTGTCAAGTGGTCGCCGTCAAACGAGCATCAGCTCATCTCCGGTTCTCTGGACAACCTGGTCAAGCTCTGGGACACCAGAAGGTCTGTGAGCTCTTTAGAAATCTTGAGTGGAAATCACAGCTCACAGAAACTTTGAAGCTGAGACTGATGAGGTCTCTGTAAGGCTATAAGGTCTTGAGGATCACCTGATTATTGTTACCATGGTTACTGCTCTTTATTGCATGAGCGAGTTTCCTGTTCAGTACAGCAGAAAGTGGAGCAGCACCAAGATAGAAACGATCCATAGTGTAATTCAGTAGCTAATAAGTGTTACCAGTGTTTTGTTAACTTTCTGCCAGCAGGTGGCGCATGACACATCAATAAACAAATTTATTAACAGATTTAGTCATATCAACATAAGGTAAAATTTTTAACCAGGTAAAGCTATATTGCTTGTTCTTTTAGTGCTTATTAGGCAAATAGTCTAACTTGGCCTAACAGAAGCTCTCAAATAATACTAATAATTTCAGTTTCTGAGTCTTTCGTGGACATTTTTCTTATTTTAGAAGTTGAAAACAGGCGATGTAAGTGTCTCTAATTTAATCTGCTGTACAGTAAATATAAAAAAAAAAAAATTTTTTTTAATCAAGTTTTTTTTTAACTTTTCTTGTTTTTTAACACAAACACAACTGAACAGAGATCAAAACAAAACCAAAAAAATCCTCCCTCCCCACCCACACATTCATAAATGTCTTCATACAGGTCAGGTACTTGCATATTTTCGACATATGACACAAAAGGTTGCCAGGTGTCCCAGAATCTTTTTGCAGAACCTTTAAAGGTATATCTGATTTTTTTTTTTTTGTTCCGATGAATAGGATACATGACTTCTCTTATCCAGTGAACGTATGCTGGGGGGGGGTCCTTACAATTGCACATAATGAGCCTCCTGGCCAGAAGAGAGCAGTAAGCAATCACGTCTTTCTCGTACTTGCTGAACGACGTATCCACCGGGACCACCCCAAACTGTGAGATGAACGGTGATGGGTGTACAGTTTTGCCTCGTATCCTAAAGAAGGTGTCAAAAATGAATTACCAAAAGGTCTACAGTTTGGGACAGGTCCAGAATATATGCAGGAGTGTAGCTGGAGTTTGTTTACAACGATTACATGCGGGGTCCGGGTCAGTTTTGATCTTGGACAGCTCATCTCTGGACCAGTGCAGCCGTTCTACTACCACCTTGAATTTAATTACAGCATGTCTCAGACAGATTGAAGATGAAGAAATGTTCTGAATGATCCTTCATAATTGAACTTATTTTAATTTGATTATTTGCTGTGGTGCTATTGGACGGTAGTCATCCAAGCTCGATACTGTGATGGTCTTTGGGACGAGGATGATGGTGGTACAATGGCTTTTCCAGGAGAGTTGATTAAAATGTTAGTACCTCTGAAAGCTGATGTGCACATTCTGTCAGGGTGCAACCCTGCAGCCTTATGTGCCTTAATTTTCTTCAGGGTCTGTAATGAAGTGCTCATAATCAAAACCTGAGTGCTGCTCACAGGCTGGGTGAGTGTATCTGCTGTGTGTGCTGGTCACATCTTCAAAACGGGCAAAATAAAAGGGGGATTAAGAGCATTAGGCAAAGATGGATCCTTGGGGCATCAACGTCCTTCCTGTTCTAGTACGTTGTGCTTTTGATGCCAGCCCACGTGCTACAGGGGTCATTTTTGGTGAAATGTCCTTGGGTGATGCATAATTAGTCTTGGCTTTTTTTAATTCCTGCAGTGAGGTTTCTCCTCAAGTTGAGTGGCAAACCCCTGGTTTTCAGCAGAGATCCAACCTATCTAGTCAGCCAGGGTTATGGGTTGTGGTGGACTGTTAGTAGTTTAGATCAGGGGTTCCCAGCACTGGTCCTTGAGGAACACCACCCTGCATGTTTTAGTTGTTTCTCTGCTCGACGCGCTTGATTTTAATTAATGTGTATTTGACAAGCTTCTGCAGAAAATGAGCAAGTAATTAAATCACTGAATCAGGTGTGTTGGAGCAGGGAAACAACTAAAGCAGGCAGGACGGTGTTCCTCAAGGACCAGGGTTGGGAACCTTTGTTTTCGATGATGAACATCACTCACACTTACTGATGTAGCTGGTGACAGAAGATGCATACTCCTCTAAGTTTATCTCTCCTGCTGGTGTTAAAGCACTCTCTGAGGACAGAAGCAGCATCATCAGGCCACCGTCATTGTCTTTTTTTGTTGGTTTCACTGTTTTTGACTCAGGTGTAAGAAATGGACAAGCATGACAGTTGTGATCAGAGTCCGAGGTGGAGTTAGGAACTCTTTAAGTTCCAAAACTTTGGTGCAACGTCTTTCAGGCTGGCATGGTTTAAGTCACTACCTTCCTCTTTTACTTTTGGCTGTTCCCTCTTTAGTGGATGCCACAATGAATCGCCCTCCTCCATCTCACTCTGTCCTCCGTGTCTCCTGTCCTCACTCCAACTACCTCCATGTCTTCTCTAACTTCATCCTCACGGCCTTCGACTAACAATAGCACAATTTCCGCTGGCGCCCTGTTTGCCGACAGCATCGGCTCAGTTCAATTTATTTATACAGCGCTAAGTCACAACAGAAGTCATCTCGGCACTGAACAGAAACATTCATATATATATAAAAGTAAGTTAAGATTATTTATCTGAGGAGCAGACTGCTTTGAGTCTAACAGGAAGGAGGAACAGATGCACAATGTCAGGTCAAGAATCACATGTTAAGACAGAAATATTATCAAATGAAAACTATTCAATTGTAACAATTAATTTAAGGAAGTGAGGTCAGTTTGTCCTCCAGTAGTCTAAGCCTATAGCAGCATAACAAGCCAACCCTAACTATAGGATTTATCAAAAAGGAAAGTCTTGAGCCCAGTTTTAAAACTGGACAATGTGTCAGCCTCACGGACAGAAACTGGAAGTTGGTTCCACAAGAGAGGAGCCTGATAACTGAAAGAGCTTCCTTCCATTCTGATTTTGGAAACTCTAGGAACCGGAAGTAAACCTGCAGTCTGAGAGCAAAGTGCTCTGTTAGGAAAATATGGAACAATAAGATCTGTAATATAAGATGGAGCTAGGTTGTTGAGGTCTTTGTAGGTTAGAAGAAAGATTTTGAACTCTGAATCCAACAAGAAGCCAGTGGAGGGAAGCTAAAACTGGAGAGATATGATCTCTCCTGGCAAGATTGTGGCAGTCATTAACTCGGGCCTTGACCGACAGACATGTTTGTTTTGGTAGAAGTGTTGGACGTCGGATGCCCTTCCTGACAACCCTCACGATTTACCGGGGCTTGGGACTGGCACAAGAGATACACTGACCTGTGTTCCCTAATGGCTGGTTTAAGTCCCTAACGATGACATGAAATGTCATGTGGGTGTTTGTTTTAAAGCATTTAGAGTCATCTAGTTTTGCTAGCGCCTCACTAGCTTTTGCTCTTGGTGTGAGGTAAACGGCTACAGTAACCACCACTGTTAACTCTCAAAATAAATAGTGTGGTTCACAATTTCCACAGCTTCGGAGCAGCTACTGCTGACAGTTGAACAGTCTGGACACCGTCCTTTATTGATGTCTTTCTTGACAAACAAGTCCGGTTCAATGAAGTAACATGTCACCAGTCAGTTGTTGGTACATTTGGTCAGGTAAAGTTAAGGACAAAGTTCTGGATTGGAATTTCCAGCTAGATGAATCATCCTCCTTTGAAAGAGCTGAAAAATCCTCGTCTTAAATTGATGTTTCTCCTTTTTTTTTTGTTTCTATTCTTACAGTCGGGTTTTCCATTAAGCAACATTTCTGCTTTGCAGATGACTTGGACTTGGGTTTTGTTCCCCAACAACTAATGGAAGTATTTCTGGCATTCCATTATAAAAGAGGCCGTTGGTGCAGGCAGGACATCCTGTTCATCAGAAAGTAAACAGCCGTCTGGTTCTGCTGGAACCAGCTTCCTGCCTTTGTCTCAGTCAAGTTTAGACACCATGTATTCAGACTGTGCAGGCAGAATAGCAATATGTTTTTATGGCGCTTCGTCTTTTTTATTATGTCATAATTTTTATTAGTTGTGGAATAAACTCTGCTTTTGAATTTGAAACCTAGCATTCTTTGCAAATTTGATAACAATTGGTCGTTCTTGGTCAAATCTTATAAATGATATTATTCCTGAGCTTGAAGGATGACTCTCAGCTACCACCATATCAAACTATAGCTCCATATCTGTAGAAGTGGTTGACTTGTATATATTTTTGTGTTTGCAAATATTGATCAGCTTTGGTGGCTGTCCTGGACTCGGTCAACTTCAGAGGATATTTATTTATAGAACTACAGAAGTCCCTCGATACTTGGCGGTTTGATTTTCATGGACTCACTCTTTCGTGGGTTTTCAACTTAAGATTGTACACGACACAGGATTGGCGACCAGCCAGAGCATTGTGCTGAGGGGCGGACTGGCCATCAGGAGCACTGAGACATTTCCTGGTGGCCTGGCCCGCTCATCGATCGCCGAGGGGGACGAAAGGCTTGGTTTGGATGGAGCTTGATTATTTTACAGGTTGCGCGCCAGTTATGTCTGTTCTGCTGTGACGGACGGCCTCAGAAAAAGAGGGTGGGGGTGGGGGTGCGTTCTGTCTTATACATGAGTGATCTGCAGGAGCGGCATGTATTGTTTATATAAAATAATCAAGCACAACCCGAATCGAGCCTTTAGTCCCCTCGGCGATCACTGAGCGGGCCAGGCCACCGGGAAATGTCCCAATGCTCCCGATGGCCAGTTCGCTCCCGGGCGCTGATTGGTTCAGTAACCGTAGCATCACGTCTGTCTGCTCTCTTTCGCTGTGCTCTTTTAGAGCATTTAGAGCCGGCTTATTCAACTAAATTGCTCAGGGGGGCACAGTTACTGAAAGCCAAGAGCTCAGGGGCCAGCAGTTATTGTCATTAAGTCACTTTGTTTAACGGTTTAAAATCTAGTTTCATTTCAAAATGAACCCATTGGTGAACCGAACTGAGTTCACCCCTGGGCCTGATTTGACCGCCAGTTGAATAGCCCTGGTTTAGAGAGTTTAGAACATTGCAAGAGTGTGGGAACAGTTTCCAAAGCCTTATAAAATATATAAATACTAAAATAAATATAACGTCCCTACTTAGTGGATTTTCATCTATCGCGGGGGGGGTCTGGAACGTAACCCCAACGATAAGTGAAGGACTACTGTACATCCGGTGATGACGTTCAGAGAGTTTGAAAGACCTTTGTTGCAGTTTTACATCCATTGGTAACTTTTTGATGGCCTCATTCAAATATGTTGGTTAGTTCATGAGATATTTTGCTAACACAGGCAAAGTAAATGTATAAATTAACTCTGTGCTTCTCCTTCAGCTGTAAGGCTCCTCTGTATGACCTGGCAGCCCACGAGGACAAAGTGTTTTGTGTGGACTGGACAGAAAGTGGAGTAAGTTAAACAAAGTCTTTATTATCGTCAGATTTCAGCATCGCACTCAGTTTTAGTACATGAACTCAGCTGAGGCATCATTTCAGAGTGTGTGTGTGTGTGTGTTTTCCAGCTGATGCTGAGCGGTGGTGCAGATAACAAGCTGTACACCTACAGATACTCATCCTGTCAGACGGACGCGGGAGCGTAGGATGCGGACAGCCATCACCGCAGGAACACACATCCATCACAACTGCCAGAACTGCTGGACAAAAAAAAAATCCTTTTTGCTTTGTTCGTTCTGTATCCTGTTTTTTTCCCCACACACACCTTCTTATGGCTCGTCTTTGTTTGTATCAGTCATATAAATTAATTTTGTCTCCCAAAATGCCTCTTCAGCTTTATTTACAAGTATTAAGCCACTGTAAAGATGATCTTCAACTGGTTAACTTTTGGGGTTAACTCGGTTCAAGATGGCTGCCACAGCCACCTGACATTATAAAACACAAATGTTGTTTATAACGCGGTCAGTTTTGCAGCTGTTGACCTGATGGGGGTGTTTAACTCGCAAAGACAAAGGTAGATAAGAAGGAATTCAACTAGAGAAACTGCATTTCATGCATGCAGTGTGAATGCTTATTGCAGAAGAACTTGCTGGAAAACAGCTGAAACTAGCTAAAAACATGTTGAGATGTAACTGAAATGAAAGAACAAGCCTAAATTAGCAAAAGAAAGCAGAAAGAGCACATATTTGCAGAATTACGTTTAAATAAGCACAATTAGGAGCAGTTGAAATTAGCAACAACAACAACATAAAAACAGCTGAAAAGTAGTTGGAAAAGGCAAAAAGAGGCTTAACCTACCAGAAGGAAGTGGGAAGAGCTGAAATAAGATTTAAAAAAAAATTGGAATGGGCTGAAAGGCTCAAATTTGCATAAACAAATAGCTAAAATAGCAGAAAAAGCTGAAAGCATAACAAGCTGAAATTAGCAGAAATTAGTTAATTAGTTTAAAAGTCGCAGAAACTACTACAAAAAAATTGATTTTATCTGAAAACAGCTGAAATTAGCAAAAAATACATATATTTTAAAGTAGATGAAAAGTTAGAACAAACTTAAATTGGCAGAAGAAAGCAAAAAGAACATGTTTGCTGAAAGAAGCAGAAATGATCACCAAAAAGTGGAAATAACAAAAAGCTGAAATTAGCACACACTAAACAAAAGCAGCTGAAAAGTAGCTAAAGAAGTTTAAATTATAAGTGGCGAGAGCAAATTTTTGCTGAAATAGGCTGAAAACAGTTTAAATGAGTGCAAAAATGTGGAATTACCATAGTTGAAAAAGCTGAAAGCATAAAATGGCTAAATAGTAGCTTAAATAGCGGAACTGGCTGAATCTTCCTGAAATAAGCTGGAAGGGGCATAACAAGCTGAAATTAGAAAGAAATTAGAAGTACAAAAATTTAGTTGGCAGAAAGAATCTGAAAGGAGCACAAAACAGCTGAAAGTAGCTGAAAAAAGTAAACATTTTCTGAAAAAAGCTGAACCAGAACAAAATGTGAAAGGAGCAGTAAAAGGTAAACGGGTATAAAGATTTCAAGGATGTAAAATGAACTCAGTTCATTTCTTATGATACAAAAAGTGGCAGAAAAGGCTGAATATTTCAAAAAGCTGCACCAATACCAAAATCAGGATTGTCCTGAAAGAGCTGAACATTTTGAAATGTGATTTGTTGAAATGGCTTCAAAACTGCAGGACGAGAAAAGTACGGAAGAAAAACGGATCACAATAGTGTGATTGCTTCAAAAAACGTTCATCCAATAAAGATCAAACTGGTTTTACAAAACGATGCAATTCATTTTCACAGATTTTTCACCTTGTGAACTTCCTTTTTTTTTTTTTTTTGTTAAAAAATTGCCCTTCATGTCCTGCGCTTCCACTGATTTGACCCAAATGATGAAAACAAGAGCTTAAAAAATGGCTTTGTCAAGAAAAAATATAACATTAGGTGTTTTATTTTTTACTCAGTTTAAAAATTGTGTTGCAGAGTGACCCAATACTTTTGCAACTCAATACTTAGCAAAAAAAAACTGAAGACCCAGAACTCATGGCTATGTTTTTTGTATACATCATGAGTTCCAGATGCTCAGTAATCCAGGTAGATTAAACTAACAAGGTTCGTGGCTGGTGTTTCATGTTGAAATAGCGAAATGTCATCGACGTATAATGTTTCCAGGTGTCAGAATAACCAAAAAACAGCTGAATCATAGGTAAATGTAACACTGTTTAAGTGTTTCAACAAACCATATATATCTAGACCTTCGTGCATTGCAAAACACTGACTTTGAGAATGAGCATCAGTAAATGTTAACAGGTCAATTGACAGTGTGAAGACACTGTTCCAAAATTACAACATGGCAACTTTTGCAAACAAGACCTCATGGCTTCAATATTGAACAAGAAAAGGCAGAGACATTAGTCACAATAATACAAACATTTGATGATGTCATGCAAAACTTAAGAATGTACATTTACTGAAAACAGTTTCTTTAACCAAACACTTGGAACAAAGATGTCATACTTAATAAAAAGTCACAGTTTCCATCTGTTGCGGTCACGCAACAATTGACCGTCACTGAACACAAACAAGACCAAGTACTATCAAATGATGTCATCCAAACATTAGAATCAGTGTTTCAAGGTAAAACATGAACCGTAACTTGTATTTGAAGCACCTTAACCTGACAAGCACCCACAAAAAGACCTGCAGCAAGTCCGTTAAACAGAAAAACAAGCAGGTAGCACATTTTGAGCACTGCTCTTTCACAATGAACAGCCACGGTACCGTATTTTTCGGACTATAAGGCGCACCGGATTATAAGGTGCAATAAGCGAAACAAAACAGATGAGTCAAACTTTATTCGACTCATTCACAACAACTCTCAACATTGTTCAGTTGTACCACATAAAATCAGTTCGAGGTCAGTAAGGACAACCAGAATTAATACATAAGGCACTCCGGATTATAAGACTCACTGTCGATTTTTGAGAACATTAAAGGATTTAATTAAATTATAAGAATTAAAGGATAAGTGCACCTTGTAGTTAGAAAAATACAGTATTTGTATCGCCCTTTTCATTCAATCCAAACGGGCCATTGACCCGTTTGTTTTTTAAAGTGCCACAGAAAGATTAATCTGCATTTAATGTGACAAATGCATATATAGCATGTGAAAATCTTTTATCTTAGAAATGCATTTCCAAGAAAAAAAAAAAGCACACATATATATATATATAGATAGATAGATAGATAGATAGATAATACTTTTTTACTTGCCATTGAAGTTGATTCAAATTGTTCACATGTGAATATCTGGGTAAAAATAAGTGAAAAAGGCACTTTTCTGAGGAGAAAATGTGGCTGAAGGAGGAAGCAAGATGTACCTGTGTGGATCATGTGACTACGTTTTTACATTTTGATTGGCTAATATTTTAATTTCCCCATGTTAGTATTGACCAATAGAAAATCTCTCATTACAAAACTACAAATAACAGAGTATGTTGCTTGGATGCAACATAGTATCATAGAGGGTTAAATGATTTACTGTACATTTATGAATTTATTTGTTTAATAGTTTCATTTTTGAATCAGTAGAATAATTTATTTTTATACATGTATTTATTTATTTATTGCGGAACCTTTGGACCGCGATATTCTTTTGGCAAAGCGAAATGAATCACTTCGCTGTGAGGCTTCTTACTCATATAAACGATCTTTGTCCCGAGCTGACGGACAGCGACCCCTCGCGCCCGGACTGCGCAGGCGCAGTCACTTTGCATATCCTGCTCTGACTCACAGGATGATGGCTATCGAGATGCGAGCTTAGCCGCTGGACTGCGCCGCATAGATGCTCGCACTGCTGGACAACACCTGAAACAAGGTAGCGGGTTATCTATTTAATTTCAAATTATTTTGTATTAGATTAGAGAAAAGAAAAAAGCAAATACACGTACTTATTTACGGCTCTTTCGCCGCGTTAATGGTAAGACGCAATGACACTTTGCTAGTAGCTTTACTGCTAGCTCAGAAGCTCCCGAGTTGTTTATTTTAAACACTATTTGTGTCCCGTGCTGAAACTTTACGCTTCGCGTTAATGAATACTGAACACGGTGCTGTTTCCCTCGTCATGACACCAGCTCCTGGTGAAACTGAACACCTGCTCCAGTCGCAGGTGTCTGCTGCAACAACCAGATTAAATCCGCTGCTTTCTGCTCAGACACAGAGAAAAGCGACAATAACCTGATTAGAGCTCAGCAGATGCCATTTGTCTTTGGTGCAAAGCCAGCAGGAGTTTACTCATCTGTCGGTTTATCTGTTTTCAAACTATTAAACAAACAAATTTAAAAAATGTATAAACAGAGGAATTGCCCTTCCTGTGAAAATGTAGTGTGAATGCTTGTTGCAGAAGAACTTGCTGAAAAACAGCTGAACTTAGCTAAAAAAAACATGCTGAAATGGATGAGCTAGCCTAACAGCAGAAGAAAGCAGAAAGAACACTCACAGTATTTGCTGAGTTAGGTTTAAATAAGCAGAAATGAGCACAGAAATTAGGAAATAAGCTAAAAATATGAAATTAGGAAAAAAAAATAGCTGAGACGTAGCTGAAAAGGCAGAAAGCAGCTTAAACTGCTAGAAGGAAAGGCTAGATTTAGCATAAAATAGCTTAATAGTAGCTGAAATAGCAGGAAAAACCGAATCAAGCAGAAATAGACTGAAAGGAGTATAACAAACTGAAATTAGAAAAATTGTTTTAAAGTAGAACAGCTGAAATTACCGTAGCTAAAAAAGCTGAAATTAACAATAAATAAATAAATAAATAGCTATGAAGTAGCTGAAAAGGCATAAAGTAGCTTAAACTACTAGAAGGAAAGGCTAAATTTAGGCTAAATTTAGCATAAGAACTGCTTAGTAGCTGAATTAGCAGGAAAAGCCAAAACTAGCAGAAATAGGCTGAAATAAGTCAACAAGCTGGAATTAGCAAAATAGTTTGTTTTTTTTTTTTTTGGGAGGGGGGGGAGGGCGTTGTAGAAAGAAGTAAATTAGGCTGAAAGTAGCATAAATTACAACAAAAACTTGAATTTATCAGAGAGCAGCTGAAATTAGCTAAAAAGGCTGAAATTAGCAAAATAGTTTTTTGGTTTATTTTTTTAGGCTTAAAATAGCATAAATTACCACAAAAACTTGAATTTATCAGAGAACAGCTTAAATTAGCACAAAAAATAGCCGAGAAGTAGCTGAAAAGGCAAGCAACTTAAACTATTAGAAGGAAAGGCTAAATTTAGCATAAAAACAGCTTAATAGCTAAAATAGCAGAAAAAGCCAAAACTAGCAGATATAGGCTGAAAGGAGTATAACAAGCTGATATTAGTTAAAATAAATTTTAGTAGAACAGCTGAAATTAACTAAAAATGTTAAAATGGTAGCTGAAAAAATAGAACAAGCTTAAATTAGCAGAAGAAAGCAGAAAAAATCATGTTTGCTGAAAGAAGCAGCAATGACCACAAATAGTGGAAATTATTTGAAAAGAGCTGAAATCTGAAAAAAAAAAAAACAGCTGAGAAGTAGCTAAAAAGCAGAAAGAAGCTTAAATTACCAGTTGGAAGTGGCGAAAGCACAGTTTTGCTGAATTAGGCTAAAATGTTTAAATGACTGCAAAAAATGTGGAAATAGCTGAAAAGGATAAACTTAGCATAAAACAGCTGAACAGTAGCTGAACAATTATGAAACTAGCAGAAATCAGCTGAAAGGAGCATAACAAGCTGAGATTAGTAGAAAGAAGTTAATTAAGCTGAAAGTAGCTGAAATTACCATGAAAAATTTAAATTTATATGAAAACGTCTGAAATTAGCTAAAAGATGCTAAAAATGTAGCGGAAAAGGTAGAACAATTTTGTTACCAGAAGAAAATGGATAGAACATATGTTTGCCCAGTTAGGCTTAAAAAAGCAGAAATGATCTGAAAAAATCTGAAATCAGCAAAAACCAGCTGAAAAGTAGCTAAAAAAGCAGAAAGAAGCTTAATCACCAGCAGAAAGTGGAGAGAGCACATTTTTGCTGAATTAGGCTGAAAAAAATTGAAATGAGTGCAAAAATATGTAATTAGCCAAAACAGCTAAAATTAGCATTAAAATCAGCTAAATAGTAGCTGAAATAGTGCGAATGCTTCATAAACATTCACACTAACACTCAGTAGTTGTATGACCTCACATTTTAAGCACCTTTTCCTGCATCCCTTAATATTTGTTGTTTGTTTATAGAATAGAGGTCAGCTGACATCCAAGGATGGACGGGTGAGTTGCTGTTAAATCCAACCCACACCTTCGTGTTGACGTGAACGCAGCAGGCGTAACAGAGCCGTCTCTGCCTTCAGGTTTCCGGGGGACATGCTGAGCGACAGCTCGGTGATGGCCCGCATGCAGAAAAAGTTCTGGAAGACCAAGCAGGTCCTCATCAAAGCCACAGGCAAGAAGGAGGACGAGTACGTGGTGGCTTCAGATGCTGACCTGGACGCAAAGCTCGAGGTCAGGGGACACGATTTAGAGTACCGGTATATGTGTCAAACTCAAGGCCCTGGGGCCAAATGTGGCCCTTGTTGACATTTTATCTAGCCCCCAAGATGATATGTGAAACATAAAATACTTCTATTTCTTGAATCCTTTCAGTAATCTTTGATTATGATGTCGAAAGCACAACGGAGAACATCAAATGAGACCAATCAAACTCTTGTTGAGGAACCTGTGACCAAGTAAATATGTTGGGTATCTATCTTGAGTTAATGTAGATTCTGAAATTGGCCCTTAGTTTGAAAAAGGTTTTAATTTTGGCCCCCTTGTGTAAGTGAGTTACATTAATACATACATTCTTTCTGAAGTCCACGATCATCTCCTTCGTCTTCTTCACATTGATGTGAAGGTTATTCTCTTTGCACCAGCTCTCCAGGTGTTCCACCTCCTGCCTGTAGCTGGACTCATCATTGTTTGTGATGCATCCCACCACCGCTGTATCATCTGCAAACTTTACAATGTGACAGCCTGGATGGGTAGCTGCACAATCATACGTGAGGAGAGTGAACAGGAGGGGGCTCAACACACATCCCTGAGGGGAGCCAGTGCTGAGGGTTATGGTGGAGGAGAAGTTGTGGCTCCTCACTGACTGTGGTCTGTTTGTTGTGAAGTCTAGGACCCAGTTGCAAATGGAGGGGCTTATTCCTAGTGTGGATAGTTTGTCCTTCAGGGTTTGGGGGATCATGGTGTTGAAGGCAGATGTGAAGAAGTCTTTCTGTTCCAGGTAGTTGAGCGCAGTGTGGACCACAGAGGAGATGGCATCCTCTGTTGATCGGTTCTCACGGTATGCATACTGATGAGGTTCCTCGTTGATGTTGATGGTTGTTTTTGATGTGAGTCATGACCAGTTTTTTTAAGCATTTAGCGACTATCTGGGTGAGGGCCACTGGCCGATAGTCATTCAGACCAGTCACTAGAGCTTTTTGGGACTGGGATGATGGTGGCAGAACTGTCTCCAGGGTAAGTGAGGAGTTAAAGATGTCTGCCAGCACCTCGCAGAGCTGATCGGCACATTCTTTCACCACCTCCCCGGGGATGTTGTCTGGGCCTGTTTCTTTGTGAGGATTAATCCTCCTGAAAGTACTCCTTACTTCTCCTGGGGTCACGCTGAGAAACTCTTCAACCGGTGGTGAGGTGAGTCTGGTGCTGGGTGGTCTGTTCGGGTCTTCAAAGCATGTGTAGAACTTGTTGAGGGCATCAGGCAGAGATGGTCATTGTTCACTCCTGCCTTTATAACCTGTTATGTACTTAATGCCCCTCCACATGCTCCGTGGGTCTTGTGAGGTGAATTGACCCTGGCTGTGGGGAGCAATATTCACATGCTAGCAAAAATGCTACCGACATACCGCTCCATCTCCCTGGTCGACAATGACCGGCAGCAACGCAACGCTAAACACAGATGTGACTCCATCCCGTCCTCATTCCCCCTCCCTCACTTGGTCAAAAAAAAAAAAAAAAAAAAGACAAGCGCCCCACCAAGGGAACTATTCTAGAGGAAATGTTGAACATAGATATATATTTCAAGCCAACCTTTAGAAAAACACAAATTTTATAGCATCAAATAAAAAAATTAACCAATTTATCAAACAAAAAGTATATATACATTAAAAAAAAGACACCATCACCTACCAAATATGTAAACGTATCATCCATTTAGAACCACCAACTACCAGGTAAATAACAGAAAAACATCCATTATGTTGGATTTCATATTTTTATACCTTTTTATATTTCCTATCAAGCATTCAAATGTCATGTTATACAAAGTGTGTGTGTGTGTCTTTCTTCCAGGGTTGAACTATATTTATAGAAAATGTTTACTAATTCTAACTATTTTACCTTTACATATAATCTTATATTAGCTAATGATAATTTTACAAGTTCACATTTGATATATTACAAGCAATCAAATCATGCCAGATAGCAGACTGATTAACATAAATAAAGCTAGAACACATTTCTTTAATTTAGACTTAAAATAGTTTGACTAAATAAAATCCCTCAGGTTCTCTCTTAATAATAACAATTAGCATTTTATTGTTTAATCATTGTTGAATACAGGGTCGGTTTAGCTGAGAGGACACAGGGTTAATCGTCACAGTAAGATTAATTATTCCTAGAAATAAACAACTTTAACTCAAATCATTTGGTATCACTAAGGTATAATCACGTTAAACAAACAGAGCTAAAACAGAACCGATTTCAGTGTGCCATAAACTTTTTATAAACTAACGTCCTTCAGGGGGCGGGCTACACCAGTAACCATGGCAACTGAAGGGCTAAACCAATCAGAAGAGCTAGCTTTTTCAAGCTTTTATAAAAGCCGGAAATGACACACACCCAGCGGGCATTTCCGGGGAAGACCAGACCGAGACGGTTCGTTCTTTAATGCTCCAAATATATGCATATATTTTATTAATGTAATTGTTTGTCTCTGAATATCTGTAACCCCTGTTTGTCAAATAAATCTTTTATACCGAGGGCGATGTCTCAGCTGTCTTGAACACGACGTGGTAACCAGCCACGACAATTAAAAGAAGTACAAAGAACCAGGACCAGACCTACCGTTGATAAGAAAACACTGACCTGAAGTCTGTTTCTAGTGGTTCCCAACACTGGTCCCTGAGGAACACCATCCTGCATGTTTTAGCTGTTTCCCTGTTTTGACACCTGGTTTGAATGATTTGGGGATTAACAGGCTTCAGCAGAACTTGAGGAAGTAATTAAATCATTGAATCATCTGTATTGAAGCGGGGAAACGGCTAAAACATGCAGGGTGGTATTCCTCAGGGACCAGGGTTGGGAACCACTGATTTAACTCTTCCTTTAACTGAGGTTTAATTCAACTATTAGTCCAGTTGTCTTATGGTGACCAGGACAGAGGTCCTGTCCAGTGGAAGATTGAACAATAAAGACAATGCACTGGTTTCTTGTCAAAACTTTAGCTTGTTTGCTTGTTTTTTGTTGTTGTTGTTTTTGTTGGAAATGGTTCTGTAACTTCCCAGTTTCATTAGCATCTTTTTTTTGCCAACACGGCTGTTTGCTCAATAAAATAAACAACGTCACCGTGTGAGGTGAATGATTCAGTCTGTGTTTCTGATCTGACTCAGGCCTGCACACGGACAGGCGTTTAACCACAGCCGAGTTCGACAAACTGAAGCAAATGTTGTTTATTTAGCAGTTAATGGGTAACTGCCCACGGGCAGAAGACCTCCTCCCTTTACTGTCTCACAGCCTCTCTGTATCTTTTTCACCTGGAAGACAAAGAACGACTCAGGTGGCTGCTTTTGTCTTGAGTTTGGTTTAAAACGAGTGCAGGTTTGCGTAACCTGAAAGAAAAACATCAATGGAAAGGAATGGTGGACTTGTTATGACCACTGTTTGGGCTTCTGGTGATGCTGGCTCATAACTGAAACAACCGTTTTCTATCTGGAATGGCAGCTTAAACCAATAAAAGGGTGGTAAATGTGGTAGCAAACATATTTGCCCTTTCAGCATCATGATTCAGTGAAGTCTGTTTACCAGCAGTTTTGTCCTTTATCAAAGGACAGACAGCTTTGGAGATGTCTTGATATGTCCATTTTTTATTTGACAGATGGTGCCCATTAGATTAGACGAGACATATCCATTAATTCAACCTTTATTTATACATGTAAGTCTCATTGCGTCACGAGGACTCATTTTCAAGAGAGACCTATTTTTGACAAAGAATACAAATGAGGTACACATAACGATAAGCATTCATATAAAAACATATAAAATGAAACGTATATAAAAGAAGTGATATAAAACAAAATAAAAACAAAACGGCTACATCATAAAGCAATGAAAAATACTCAAAACAGGAACATGTCTGCATTGATTTTTACATTGAACTTAACAGTTGTTTAAAATCCCTTTAGAGAGGTCAAAGTCAAGAGCGTCAGATCTTTTTGCAAAGTGTTCCTGGTTACAGGAGCGGAGTAAGAGAAGGCCCTTTCGCTGAATTCGGTCCGTACTTATGGAACACTGCAGGTAATGATGTCTTGGGAGCACACGCTGTAGCTGCACTGATGAAGTGACATGTAGGAGGAGATGTATGAAGGCAACAGACCAAGAATCAATCAATCAATCAACCTTTATTTAGACAGGTAAATCCCATTGAGCCTCGAGGACTCATTTACAAGAGAGACCTGATGAAGAAGTGATTTAAAGATGAAAATGTACCAGTGAGAGAGTCTTTGTGACGTTAATGATGACTAATTGACCAATGAGTACAGGGTGCAGTGATGGGTACGGTAGTTACAGCCAGTCATGAATCTTAGCGCACCATGATAGACAGTGTCCAACATCTGCAAGATGCTTGCTGGAACATTCATGTAAGTAATATCACCATAGTCAATGGCCGGAAGAAAAGTAGCAGTTGCAAGACATTTCCTAGCATTCAGAGTTGGACAGGATCTATTGCTGAAAAAGAAACCCAATTTTACTTTTAATTTCTTTACCAAATTTTCCACGTGAAGCTTAAAAGAGAGATGTGCATCGACCAAGATGCCCAAGTATTTGTAAGAATCGACAGACTCAGTAGGAACACCATTTATAGATAAGATAGAAGAAAGAACTCTGGTACCGACTTCCTGTTTGAAAACAACATCCCTCTGGTTTTATCAGCATTTAGCACCTATTTGAGACGGAACAAATCTGACTGGACGATGTCGAATGCAGACTGTAAAAGCTGGAACACCTTAGTAACTGTTGTGGCTCGACAATAAACAACTATGTCGTCGGCATAGAAATGTAAGGATGCATCATGAATTATGTGACCTACATTATTTATGTAGATTGTGAAAAGGGTGGGACCTAAGACTGAGCCTTGTGGTACACCATTGTTGATGGTTAAATAGCTGGAAGAAGTACTATTATGTCGAACACATTGCCTCCGATCTGAGAGGTAACTAGAAAACCAACAGATAGTAATGTATTTGTTAGATGGAAGCGGAGAGAGAAATAAACATCACATAATGAAGAAAAGGTCTTGTTTAAGTGTTTAGACTCCATGTTGGCTCGTAGCAGCACATGATAGTAACCATGTGTGTTCTGTGTATGCAGTTTTTCCATTCAGTTCAGTTCACGTGCACAGAGCTGCTGAAGGTGATCGAGAAGTACCAGTACAGGATCACACGTGAGTCTGATCCACTTCATACAGGAAACGCACAAGCTTTTGAAATGGTTAGTTCTTTTGCCAGGCACCTGAAACGTATTTTATGAAATCCGTCTCTCCTCAGGTTTGTCCCAGGAGGAGAACGAGCTCGGTCTGTTCCTTCACTTTCAAGCTGAACGGGACCGCACGAAGGCAGGCAACATGATGGACGCCACCAGTAAAGCTCTGTGCGCGTCCGCCAAACAGAGGTCAGAAAACAAGTTGGGACTGGACAATATGACCCAAAATCCACGTTTTCAGGATGTACTATATAAACAGTACAAAACATGAAGTCTGGGTTTGGTTGATCATTCTTTGGTTGTAACAATGCAGTAGTCCCTCTATTATCGCGGGGGTTATATTCCAGACCTCACCGTGATGGGTGAAAAACCGTAACGTAGGAACGCTATATGTACTTTAGTATTTATATATATTTTAAGGCTTTATAAAGTGTTCCCACACTCTTGTAATGTTCTAAACTCTTAAACCTACGTAATTTTAACAACATACGTATATGTACTGCACAGTAGCTACTGCAAAATTTTATATGGGTACTCACTAGCCTTGGTCCGGTTCTGCTCTGGTTCTCATTGGCTCTCTGCAGCCCTTGGACACCAAGACGCTTTTAGAGAGAGCTGGACCTTCAGAGAGCCAGCACAAAACCACACAGTGGTCCAGAGAGAGTTCAAATAGGACCTCTATTGAGAGGAATCCGGATGAAAGTCTGGGTGAGCTCCGGAGAAGACCTCAGACCTCGAAGCAACGCCTCCCCACTCGAGAAGCTCCCTGAGCTGACAAGTAGATTGACCGATGAGGCTGGAAGTAGTTCTGGTCCAATTCTGGTCTGTTCCGTATGGCTCTCTGCATCCACTGAACGCCAAAGTCGCTATGAATAAGTACTTTATAAATAATAATAAGAACTTTTTAGTCCGGTTCAGATAGGATCAAAACTTTCCCTCGATTTTGGCAGAAAGCAACGTCGTCTGGAAACACTGTTGGCTTCTGGGTAGTCGAGTTCTTTTGACTGGTCTTACAGTGTAGGCTTTTTGAAAGAAAAGTACAAAATGGTGGCTCCTGTCTGAAGTTTTTTTTTTTTTTTTTTTGCTAACTTTATTCGTACCATCCCAATCACGTTCGTAATATTAAATTTGACAATTGTTGAAAAACCGCGACAGTCGAACCGCGAAGTAGCGAGGGACTTCTGTATACCAATTGGGATTTCGCACTAACAATGTGCGGTCTATTAGATATGTTCAATACGTTGCCCTCTACAAATTACAAATATTTTGATTCATTTCACTTCCCACCAGCTCTGCCTTTTCCTTATCCGCAGGATGGCGTTCTGCCCTCCGTTGCAGCGCATGTACCAGGAAGTGGAGACCTTCCGGCGGCGTGCCATCGCCGACACACTGCTAACGGTCGGCCGCATGGAGAAGTCCCGCACAGAGTACCGAGGAGCGCTGCTCTGGATGAAAGACATCTCTCAAGAACTGGACCCAGACACCTACAAACAACTGGAAAAGTTCCGCAAGGCAAGAAACGGCGCGAAAGGTGTTGAGCTTCGGCGATCCCAAACATGTTTGTGACGCTTCCCTCTGTCTGCGTTGGCAGGTCCAGGCTCAGGTTAGAGAGTCAAAGGGCCAGTTTGAGAAACTGAAAAACGATGTGTGTCAGAAGGTGGACATGCTGGGAGCGAGCCGCTGTAACATGCTGTCCCACTCCCTCTGTACTTACCAGGTACGTAGTCTTAAATCAGTATTTTCTGTCTGGTTTAGGTCTGGGCTTTGACCCTTGCTGCCTTTAAACCATGTCTGCGTAGTTTCTGCTGGTGCTTCGGCTCATCGTCTGGCTGAAAAATCTCCCAGGCCGTACTCCTTTGGTGGTGTTTTGATCTACTGTTCTAATAAATTTAGTTTTTAGCTACTGTTCTGCTAGTTTTAAGTTTCTGTTGCTGATTTGGAAATTTAATTTGTTAGCTTTTGTTTAGCAAATTTAGCTTTTAGCTACCGTTTTGCTACATTTAGCTTTTCACTATTATTCTGCTGGTTTTTGCTTTAAGCTACTGTTCTAATTTTAGTTTTTAGCTACTGTTCCAATAGCTTAAGGTTTCTGTTACTGATTTGCCAATTTCAGCTTTTAACTCTTGTTTAGCTCTTTCAGTTTTTAGCTGCTGTTCTGATTGTTTTAGCTGTTAGCTTTGTTTAGCTAATTTTAGCTTTTGTTCCGAGTCAACAGTTTCAGCTTATACAAATTTCGTCAGGCATTCAGCACTCGCATCGCATTTTTCAGAAAATTAAAAACGATTTTTTTGTTTTTGTTTTGTTTTTCCGAACTTCACAGATCAAAATATCTGAACTATCCCTTTAAACACTTCGTGGTGTTTTGTGAGTTTTTATTTTTGGTCCATACTAAGTACAGTTTGATGTGGATTTACATCTGGGAATATAAATACTTCATAGTATACATCTGGCAATATACATACTAGTATACATAGTTACTACGTGTACACAGTATCTCCCTGCTGGCTTGTCTCGTTAATATCGTACATGTTTGTGTCGTGTCAGACCACCCTGCTGCAGTACTGGGAGAAAACAGCCCAGTCCATGTCAGGAATCCACGAGGCCTTCTTAGGACACATCCCGTACCAGTTCACCACACTCAAGGTACTTCAGGTTGTGGGGCGGTCACAACGGCACCCGTCTAATTCCTGGAAGCTGCTCTGCTTAATGTGCCTTTAAATGAGATCAAACTTCTTCTTCCAGGACCTGCGGGACCCCCTGGAGCAAATAGAGTCAGAGAAGCAGGAGACGGCTCCGCAGGACACAGGCAGGTGAGAAAACACTTTAAATCATGGAAACAGATGTACTGAAAGTTACTGCAAACATCTGTTTGCTCCTCTAACAGCCCGGCTGACGTGGCTGTGACACTCTGTCATACTTTATGTTTTACCTGCTTCATATTTTTCAAACAGCCGTCGTCAAACAGGAAGTCTTTTAATAGTGTGGTTATTTAGGAAGCGTTCACGATGTGATCCATTTTTCTTCTGTACTTTTTTCGGCATCTTTCTTGTTCCACAATTTTTGTTCTGTCAACAAATCATGTAATGTTCAGCTGTTTCAGGACAATCCTGCTGTGACTTTTGGTATTGGTGCAGCTTTAGCTTTTTGAAATATTTAGCCTTTTCTGACACATTTTTTCCTCATAGGAAAATAATTTATCTAATTTTAAATCCTTCAGATCTTTAGATCTGTTTATAACCTTTTACTGCTCCTTTCACCTTTTGTTCTGCTTCAGCTTCTTTCAGCTTCATGTTCAAGTTTAAACTTTTGTTCAGCTACTTTCAGCTGATTTCAGCTGTTTTGTGCTCCTTTCATATTCTAACATTTTTGTGCTTCTTCTAACTTATTTCTGCTAAATCAACTTGTTCCTTTCAGCTTATGTATGCAAGTTTCAGCTTTTTCTGCTATTTCAGCTGCTATTTAGCTGTTTTTATGCTAATTTTAGCTTTTTTGGCTAATACCACATTTTTTGCACTCATTTCAACTTTTTTCAGCCTAATTCAGCAAAAATGTGCACTCTCCACTTCTGGTAATTTAAGCATCTTTCTGCTTTTTTAGTTACATTTTAGCTGTTTCTTGCTAATTTCAGCTTTTTTCAGAAAATTCCACTTTTTGTGCTAATTTCGTCTTCTTTCAGACTAAATGGGCAAACACGTTCTTTCTGCTTCTGCTAATTTAAGCTTGTTCTACCTGTTCAGCTACGTTTTTTTTTAGCTAATTTCAGCTGTTTTCAGGTACATTCAAAACTTTTGTGGTTATTTCTGCTGCTTTCAGTCTTAACTTTTCTCTTCTAGTTTAAGCTTGTTATCCAAAAAAGTTCAATCTGGTCCTCTGGACTTTCAAAAAAAGAAAACAAAGCAAAAAGTTTTTTGTTTTTTTTGAATGTCCAGAGGACCAGATTGAACTTTTTTGGGATTTTTCTACCTGGATTATTGAGCATGCATCAGGACATTAAGCTTGTTATGCTCCTTGAAAATTATATCTGCTACTTTCAGTCTTTTCAGATATTTCAGCTACTATATAACCGTTTCTTTGCAACTAATTTCACATTTTTGGGCTTCATGCTTCAGTGTGGTAGTTTAAGCTTCTTCATGCCTTTTCAGCTACTTTTTGCTAATTTTAAGGTTTTTTTTGTTTTGTTTTGACAAGATTCCTAATTTTTGTGCTCATTTCAACTTATTTAAACCTAATTCGACAAATATGCACTCTCCACTTCCTTCTGGTAATTTAAGCTTCTTTCAGATTTTTTTTTAGCTACTTTTCAGCTGTTTCTTGCTAATTACAGCTTTTTTTCAGATAATTCCACTTTTTAGTGCTCATTTCTACTTCTTTCAGCCTAATTGGGCAAACATGTTTTTTTTGCTTTCTTCTACTAACTTAGGCTTGTTTTTTCATTTCAGCTAATTTCAGCTGTTTTTCAGCTAATTTCAGCTGTTTTTCAGCTAATTTCAGCTGTTTTTCAGCAAAGGAAATGCAGTTTGTCTAGTTTCTGTTTAGTTTCCTGCAGCTTTCTGTTTGTCAGAGTTTCATTTAAGACGGCAGCTCCAAATCAAAGACAGACTTTAAAAGATCAAACCACGCGGCGCTTCATGTTTTCGGCTTGTCTCTTTCTTTGTCTTTCTCAGTCTCGTGTCCTTGGATGAAGCCGAGCCACCAGGAAGTGCGCATGTTGCAGGTATGGACTGCCCCCTGCTGGCCACACGGTTTTATTTTTCAAACTGAATCATCACTAGTTTATTAATTTTCTGCGTTGTTGCTGGAATGTGAAGGGAACATAAGCAGACAACCAGTATAACAGACACAACCTTTATTTTCCAAGCCTTTCCTGTTTTAGGTCAAAATAATTTTTATTTGTTAAATGTGTGAATAACGAGTGAGAGCGTTTCGTCTTTTATTTCTTTCTTCAAAAACCAAAAGTTTACATACGTTAAGATTCCCGTGAACAGTTCGAGAAAGCCCAGGTCAGGATGCCGTGGCGATCAGAGTTTGACAATTTGCCTGTTCTGCTTCGTCCGAGTGTAAAAGCGAAGGAGGAACGTTCGTCTCTGAATTTGTGGAGAAATAACGAGGAAGGTAAAACAAGAAACGGCTCGGGTTCCTATCAGTGGTTGTAAAGAGCCGTTGGAAAGGTTCGTATCGCGTCCACGGTGAAACAAGTCCTGGACCGACGTGGACTAAAAGAAGGAGGAAGAAGACATAACTCCAAAAGTAACTTTAAAGTAGTCGGATTACAGTTTGTAAAAGCACACAGGAACATACATTTTAGTGCAGTGGTTCCCAACCCTGGTCCCTGAGGAACACCATCCTGCACGTTTTAGTTGTTCCTCTGCTCCAACACACCTGATTTGAATGAAAGGGTGATTAACGGGCTTCTGCCGAACTGAAGGAAGTAATTAAACCACTGAATCAGGTGTGTTGGAGCAGAGAAACAACTAAAACATGAAGGATGGTGTTCCTCAAGGACCAGTGTTAGGAACCCCTAACTTTGTTTGGAGACGTGCTGTGGTCTGAAGAAACTTACGACTATCGTTACATTTGGAAGAAAAAGAGGTTCGTTTGTAACATCCCAACTGAAATACGAACCGGGGGGGGGGGGG